TATTTTAATAATAATATTAATAATAATAATAATAATATTTTCAACCTTTGGTTTTTGGAAAGTACTTAAGAAGCTGTCCTACTGTACGTTGCATGAGAGAAGTTAGAGGAATAAAAATATAAATTTAAGTAGGTGTATTAGTTTGCATTGGATACGGAAAGTAGTCTTTTCAACTAGTTGTGTAAATTAGGTTTATGAATGTCACGTCTGGTTCCATTTGAATTCGCTTCTACAAGCTAAATGTGTTTCTCTTATTTTAGAGTAAACTTTACAGTAAGATTATCTGTTTCCTTTTTCATTCAAATACCAGAAGAAGAGAAAATCGTTTAGGTTTGTTGTAACTTTAAGCTGTTGAAAATGACGCTAAGCCTTGCAATTATTAACGTTTAACCTTTTTCGGACATAAATATTCTTTAAATTTATCTTCAGCTTATCCATCAGAAATATAAATACATAGGGGTGATGTTTAATCCATCTGAGTTACTAACGCGTCATTTTGTATTATAACCAAAAGGTAAACAGACAAATTGTAAAATTTACTCAATAATAACAGAAACAAAATTTAGACATCGAAGTTCACCAACATGAAACTCACATAAAACAAGTTTGAATTTTACAATAGTCAACTTGGGCTACTCAAAGTCACTGTTTTAACCTTGCATTGTTGTGCATGCAACCCTGCATTGTTATCTGTTAATTAAGTATAACAACTACGGACGAGTACCATTTAACTGTCCAAATCAATGAAGCTTCTCTGTCCGTGCCACTGATCCGAATATAATCCGTTGATCGCGCTGTGTACTGCCATCATTGGCCAGCCAATCTCTCATATTTGTTTGAATGAAACTCGATGTTTAATCATTTCCCTGAAATGTACATTCTATTCCTAAATAAAAGCCAATTCGCCAGCCATTTAACTTGTACATTTAGGCTAAATAAATTTGTATCTGTTGCAGCAACCCTGGGTGCACTATTTTTATCACTAAAGTCACTACTGCTCATTTATACCGTGATAGTGAATACTTTACCTTTAACAGATCACCTCATATAAGTGTAGTCCATGTCTATGATAACAGAAAATTTGGACACCGGTTTTAAATAAGGAAGGAAAAAGTTTTTTTTTTCAAATGAGACCCGAACGTGTACTTGAGTCAAGGGTTTCTACGTTGAATGGTTTGTGAGTAGAATAGGAACCCCGCTGTGGTGTTCTGTGTAGGCGTATTTCACTAACGGCACTGGCCATTACAAGGCCAGACGTTCTCCGGTTCACCGTTGTGTTGTCGGTTTGGCAGCGGAAGTCGTCGATGTAGATTGTAGACGGTAGACGGTTTTTGGAACGGCTAACGGACACAGTTATATCTGGAGGTAGCATAGCTGGTGTTAATAAAATCTAATACAATGTCAGACTCCTTATTGACGTGAGAACTTTTTAGGAGATACGCCTCTATCCATAGGCTGATTTATTGATTTTTAAAATTTGTTCAAAAGTTACATTTTTTGGATTTAGGATATTATTCTGAACATTTGTATGCAATTTTATGTCAATCTGTCAATATTTTTACAATAGAAAAGTCTAATTGCACAATTCAAAGTTAATGCTATTTACAGATTGACTGTAGCTCAACGGAGCCGCCTCACTATTGAGCTGCTGACCTACATACAGTAAAGTATACACACACACTCCATTGTTCTATGTTATCGCGTGTCATGGCTTGTGTGTGTTTAGTACTCAACTCTCACAGTCGTGCAAGAATGTTCTTTGATATGAACAAGTGAACGTGATTTGAAATAAATATCGTATCGTCGACGTTCTTTCGTCAGAAAACCTGCAGCTAATAGACTGTTAATACGCACTTGTCGGTTGAAGATGGTAAAATATAATGACCAAGGTAGTTGTCGGCTCTACCCTGAATTTGAAGAACCTCGATAACAAGACTCATGGGGATTTGAATAAGACTTGTTATCAAGGTTGACTTTTCATCGATGTATAACATGTGATTAGGGGTAAAATAATTCAAGGGGATTTGAAAATGACACTTGTTTTGAGGGTGACTTGTTATCGAGGGCCTTGCTATGGAAGTTCCACTGTAGTAGGTTTTTGATGGTATAAAATTAGACCCATATGTCCAAGAATATTGGGATTATGGTCTGGCAAAAAAAGATGATCTTAGTCAGTTCTTAAACTGCAAATATCATTTTACTCCACTTCTATTCTTCCAGTTCATTCCTATTCAGTTTGAAATATACAGTAATAGTATACACAAAGCACGTTGTTTTCCAAGAATTGGTTAAGTTGTTCCCGTCCAATACTCGGGCATTTCATTAATATTGGACAATTATAAAAGTGATTTACTTTTCTTGCGTGTTTTTATTTGAACCTCACATATTTTTAACTTTTAGGGTAGGCATAGATGAGAAGCAGACAAGTTATCCATTACGTTCCCAGCTTTCATGACCTCAAAAGAATTTTTACTTTCGAGAATTGTCGGAAGTTAGCAAATGTTGTCAATTTCGTGTTAATCGAGACATTGACTGCACAGTGTACAACGAAAGTGTAGAGTAGACTTGCAGACGGTCACTGCTATATATACCTCGCTATGTACATGCACGTCCGCCAGGATAATAATAGCCGTGATGTGTTCAATTGCGGTGGGAACTTCCCTGCCCTTGACTGCCACACGACAAGATTGATGCTCTGACTGTAGGCATTGATTATATATACATTTGAATGTATATAAACTTTGTATAGTCAGTGTTGGTCACCTCGTCAGTGATGGAATGGGATGTCAGTGTAAATAAATGCATGAAATTTGTGGAAATTAGCGTTTCTTACCTGTTAGGAAAACTTGCAATGATGCAATAACCTAAGAATGGTGAAATCTTGGTCTTCAGAATATTACGCGACATTAAATTTGCGAGAATTTTGACCGAACGTCGGTCAGTATTTTGCAGTCTTTAGTCCGGGAAGCCTTACTTTTATTTAAGAAATGACCCAACACATTACATCATTTGTTTTAAATCTTACAATGTTGGTGGTAAAGGAAGGACTTCTTGTATTGTACGATTAATCTTGGATGCCTCCTCGATAAGTCCAAAGCTATGTTTTTAACTTCACTTTATATGTGAGGATACAGTTTACACCCTATAGAAAATCAGAGGAAAAGTATTAGCCAATTCAATATAGTTTTGTTTGGTTGATATGCTATAAAATAAGTTATTTGTCTATCATAAATTGACTCGATGGTTATAATAGTCCGTAAACACCTTCAACAACATGGTTACGGTACTGTAAAAATTGTTTTTCCGTTGCCTATTTCTTTCTCCAACCTTTTGATGGTGTGGAGTGGATCACTCTCCAAGATGGCGTGGAAAGTGGAAAGATGAATAGAAGGGTTTTTTAAAATATTATGCGGTTCCGGTTGTCTTCGTCTAAATTTCAAATGAACATTATAAGCTACAAATATAGGATCCTTTCATTCTAAATATATTCTTATACATTTATTTTATCTACAAATGTCGAATCTGAGCGTATTTCAAAACGCCTTCAAAAACCGAGATGCAATATTGGTACATATATGTGTCCAATTTGCTGCTGGGATTCCACAACGTATTTTCAAAAGCAATATAAATTTCAGTACTGTACAGTAGTTAATTATAATATTTTGTTGATTTAATTTTTTTTATATAATATTTTACCTAACAAAGGACAAAAAGTACTTTCGGTGGGTACAAAAAATGTTTTATAAACATAAAACTTACAGTCCAGGGCCTTAAACTTTAGTTGTTTATTGCTACAGTATACAGTGTACAACAACTTTAAAATATCTATCGGCTGGTAGGGACATAAGTTCCTAAAAAGCTTAAATGTAAAACTAATTATTGTAATAAATAGTATTTAAAGAAACGCATAGTCAAATTTACTCTTTTATCAAATATATGATCGGTCATACATAGTTATACAAATATTTTACTTGTTATCAAATTTTCTGTTAAAATATTTAATTTCTAACTTTATATTTTTTTATGTAGCTGTTTACAAATTTACAAAGTACTAAATAATTTATGAATTAATGTATATACAATATTCTTGATTGACTACAAAAATCAACTTTGCAAAATACCAGAACCAAAAGAAACCCTTCAAGTACAGTAATGTTTAGCCTGTTAGCAGTTGAAGCAAGTAAACAGAAATATACTTGAAATTTACATTAACTTGATACTAGTTTGTCAACTTAACTTGTTTATGAATGTGACAATAACATTGTCTTAATATACAGGGTTAAGCAAATGTGTGGATACCCGCTCATAGCTTTGCAATGAGTTGAACCAGGAACACTAAACTCTGCACACTTTTACATGTTATAAAAGGGCACTTTTTGGTTGGTATCAAAATTTTACCTGGGACTCCAAAAAGAGGTATTTTGGGATCAGTACAAACATGTTAAATTTAAACCCCCCATCGGGTGACACATACTTTTAGAAGAGTGTCAGTGAAATCTAGAATTCTTAATTTCAATCAAGTATGGACAATGAACATTGTGGTAATTTAATGATGAATTGCAAAATTTAACAACCCCATTAGGGGTGAGATCTCTCAGGAAAATAAAAATTAAATTGAACGTCATTTTACTTTGCCTTCTTTGATTTTCTTGATCCTTACATACTGGTCAATTTGGATGGGAAAATTTAAGGTTGGAAGAGACTTTTGACTTCTTTTAATATTTATCGTTGTAGACACACCTAGCTCAGAAAAAATGAAATAGCGTTCACAAATTTGAAAAAGCTTTTAGGGTGGAACAAGTGTGGAGCTTGCCCAAGTTTGGTCATGGCAACACAAGTTTGATGCTATGTAACACAAAAACCAAGATATTTCCAACCTGTGTAAAAGTTTACCTTATTTATCTAAATTTTATATTAGTTCCATTTATCTATACATGCTACTTGATATAATAAAATGTTATTTACCTATCCTATCCTTATAAGAGCTGTTTGTGTTTCAGTACGGATAGTGGATGGGACAACCCGTTCCGGCCGGACGGAGATCTCTCAAGAGAGGCAGACGAGATCGTCGAGTTGATAAAGGGCGGAAAACCCATCACACCGACGCCAGGGAGTGTAGCGCCGCCTCTACCTTCTGTGGACGTCGCGCCACTCGGCGCCGCCCCCACATCACCCAAGGGCGCCAACGGCACCACTCCCAGCAAACCTGTGAGCACCGGGGCGCCGGGGGCGGTGGAGCTCCAGCGAGCTACGGTCTCCCCAAGTGACGCCAGCCAAGTAGAACATGTGGTTCTGAAGAAGAAGCCCAAGTGTCGATGCTGTGTGATACAGTAACAAACCGACTGATCCGTGGACCATGGTGCATATTGAGTGAGCGAACAGTGATAGCAATCTTTGCGATGATCCAAAATTTTTCAAAAAAATGTTTAGAAGTGGATGAAAGATAAAATTTACTTAACGAGTTGAAAACCTTAATCTGTGCGGGAAAGTTCCGATCTGGATTTAAATTGTGAGAATACTAAAACTAGTCAATTCGGCAGTGACATGCTGTGAGTGTTCTTCAAATAGGGTTCAAATCCGCTTAACTGCGCCATAGGCCTAGTTTAGAGTTATGTGCAGTGGTTTAAAAATCTGTGTTCAACTATATTTTATGTTTTAACTGTTGTGATACTACTTTCCGTTGCGTAGTTTAAAACTTTATAACAATTATTTTAGTTTACTTATTTTCTTTTTATGATCATTGTTGGTTTGCTGCTTCATGTGAGAGATCAAATGATTATACCGTAACCTGAGAGTTTATCCGAATAAATCGAGTATTTTTATATCACTTAACAAGCTGTTGTATTTGTCAGATAGAAGTATTTGTCTTTTACTGCTACTGCTTTGTCAGCTAACAGGTAGAGAACTCAAAGTTTGACTTGTCTTTTTATTCCATGTGATATTTATATTGTAATGTGATAAGTCATTAGAATATCTCTGCCCAAACACTGCACATACTCTCCTCACTGCATCTGGTCGGTGCGTTTAGTCAACCAACGACTATCATTGTTAGGTTTTGTTTAGTATCGCCTAAGTAAGTGTAATTAACAAATTTATATTGTCGATCGATCATTACCATTTTAGCCTTTTTATATTTTTAAGGATGTAAGTAGCTCTGCAACGCTGCATTGTCAGTAGGAAAGTAGGAATTGTGTATTTTCAATACAAGGTATGAATGTGAACAGCCTTAATCCAGTATTATTGATTTCATAAGGGTTATTTTTTAATTTACGCTACTACCTGAAAGGCAGTTTTTAACTTTAGTTTTTAACTCAAGATTATTTTGTTGAAAAAATATTATTATGACGATTAAATCTGAAGTACAAACTGTAATCTTGTTGATACAGAATCTTTATTTTAAAATTACAAAGCTGGAGAAATGTTTTGTTTGTACAAAATTTTAAATATATATTTATAAATTTGTGTACATATTGTATGTAAACTATCGCTATAAAAATTATAACTTTAATTTATTCAAACAATCATTATACAGCCTGTCAAGATGTGTAATTTTTGTAGCTTTTCCTTGGTTTCTTAAAGTTATTGATGTGTATATATATTTTAACCTCGATGATTGTAGTTGATATGCCTATCGGTCAAGTTACGATTGTATTATCTATCGCTAGATTATTCTTTATATTGACTAATACTTATGATTATGTTCGAGAAATCGCGTGTATCATGGTGCGTAACATGTTATTATCCTAAGCATTATTTTATATTATGTGTAAATAGTAAAACTTATTGAACCATCCTTTTTTAGTTTTTTAATCACCTCTTAATCACAAACTCCTTAAAAAAACTAGATGCAAGTGCATCGGCCATCTAGGTCTATATTTTATATTGTGTTTCTTCATTAAAACCCTTTGTAGTTGAATGGCGAGTATAGGTCGCCCCCTGCCATTTTCCTAAACGATAAAAAATGGCAACCTACCTATACTAAAAAAAAAATCAACAAATTTGACCTTTGCGGTTGAATGCGGGTATAGGTCGCCACATGCCATTATCCCGAATTCTCAAATGGCGACTTACACTCGCAAAAAAAGGGAAAAAAATTGATCTCAATGGGTTTTAATAATATTTGTTTCACTTTAAGTTATTTTTTATGAATAATTTTTAGCAAAACCAATTTCTCGCCTATTTGTTGGGTAGGAAATTGAACTATACAGTATAAATCCACAGATTTTTTTTTTAAATTAATGCAGTGTTACTTACATAACATGAATATTACTTTTATTTAAAACTACAAGCTAATAAATGCTAGCCAGTAACATTGGTGCTTTGGATTGTTTATCAGCCATGAAAATTACTTAAGAAACTTTTAAATCTGAATCCAGATTGCGAATGATCACAAATGAGTGTGCTGATATTGACTAAATAAATAGTTTTATCTACACTAATTTTAGAGTAAACTAGGCAATGATTTAGTCACAATAATTAATTATGAAACTAATGAAAATGCCACAACCAATTATAGTAAATAAGCACACTTGACATATACCTGAAAGAAACATTCTTTGGCTTCAGCTTATCTATAATGTGAAAAACAGACCTTATAGATGGTAAAAAGCGTAAATTTTGTATTTATAGATGATATGTCTCATTCAAAGAAATTAAGATATATCATATCCCAGTTAAAAGAGTCTTAATCATCTTACCTATCCTGGGTTATCTTATGAGGCCAGTTTCTCTATGCATGTGTACAAGGTGAACAACTACTGTGCTGCTATTATTTGATATCTCAGAAACTACTTATTTAACACTCCCAAGAAAACATTAAATGGGAGACCCCACCAATTTTTTTACGATATTAAAAAAATTAAATCCATAATTCTTAAAAATAACTGTAATTTTTTTTTTATGTGGCAATCTTATACATTTATTTTTAGAACCCTTACACTGCATGACTCATTCAGATTGCATGTATTTTATGACTTGATATTCTTTGCTATTTCTTTATATTTTTTTAATGATTTGATCCATTCAGAAATATTAAAAGGATATTAAACATACTGAATAGGAAATACATGGGAAAGTTTTTATCTTCTTTAATTTCTATGGTTAATAGAGAATTAAGCACAGAGAAATGAAGATATTTTCAAGATTCGTATGTGGTGGCAAAGGTTAAGAGCAAAGTGGGATGGGCTGTTAATGTAATTAGAAGCTCAAGAATATAATTAGAAGCTACAGTATTCCAATATGTTTGACCAAATTTGGAGAAGATACCTGCTGGAAGCCAAAATATCTGATTGAAAGACCAAGTCAATAATGACATTACTTAATTACCGCAAAAAGGCCCCTTAAAAGTCAATTAAAATTATTTTTATTTTTTTTAGTAAAGTAAGAGAATTGTTTGATCTTTTCTTTCAATCCAAGACTAAAGTGGGCTCATATAGGAAGTCTAACAAAAATTTGTGAACAGAACTCAAAGTAATGACTGGTATACTCCCGAGTTGTCTGGGCTAAAACAGGACATGCTCGCTCTGAAGGATAGGTTTTGTGAGACCAACCAAGTGGCAGAAAAGGCAGCCTACCTAACCTCACATGCTCAAGCTGAGGGCTGTGGAGGAAGACACAAGGTATAGGAACAAGTAAGTGGAGGCGGTGCATTGGTTAGGATGTGTTAGTAGGGACTCAGACATGGAAATAAGTAATATCATAGATAAAACATACTTCCTTAGTAGATTTCTCATCCTTATGGAACAGCTGAAGACAATTTTATTGTTAGTTCTGTACGGTTTATTGTAGAGGTCGTGTTTTGTTTACAATTTTTTCCCGTTATTACAGCCATTTAAAACCTCGTTTAACCAAATTATACAAACAATAACTTGTCCCCTAGTTATATAACCAAACAGTAAAGCACAAATCAAGAAATTAACCCTAAAATAATAGAAACAAAGCTTCGTCGACACTAGCACCCATGTGTCACGTACATGAACTAGACACGAAAAACGTGCTTCAAATTTACAATGGGATGAGAAGTCTTCTTGTGTTGGTTAGTCTATGGTAATATTCCACTTAGGTTGCAGCTGCAGTCTTGTATGAGCAAAGGGTTGGGGGGGGGTCCCTGCAGAAAATTTGGGGGAGCTCTAACCTTGTTCCAGAGGTCAGGAAAAAGGCCCTTCCTTTTTGTTTGTTAATGTATTGAGCATTAACTGTTTCCTTGTTAAAATTATTAATCAAGATTTTAACTAACCATTGATTAAAAATCTTAAAAAGAATTTCCATTTCCTACAAACTGATTGAACATATGGTTTGTATTATGTTACTATGATAATGATTTGATTATTTTGTTTAATTTTACTGTTGATAAACTAGTGCTAGAACATACACAATTTTAAAACATGTTTATATGTGAAATGTTTAGATTTATTGGGGTTTAAGTTTAAAATTAAATCAATTTAGTATTGGTCCTTCCCTGAATAACAATTTCAAGCTTTACATTGTGTCTTCTATTTCTAGACACAGAACATGCAGTGAAGCATAAAATTTAGCTAGGCTTGTCAATTGTAATTTTGTCTTCTGTTGAAAAATAATGTACAACTACAGATTCCCATTGTTTGACGAAGAGTTTTGCAAACTTCACGAGTGGTATGAAAGTAACCATATTCCTCCTCCAAGACCTGTAGATCATCCAAGGTCATATAGCCCATATTGTAGACCTAGCACCTCGACTCGTGTCCAAAAACGTCCCTGTAGAACCCAGGCATCAATCTACTCTGAGAAGCTCAATGATATGTTATATACACATGAATCCAAACCTTGTGCAGTTGAGGTTAAGTTACCTTTTGAATCTCAAGTTCACTCCAGCGGTAAACCCCATGTGAGTAAATTGAAGCAGTTTTTTACTGAATGGAGCCTAAATACAAGAAATCCGACGCCACAGTTTGATCAGTACACACCTACCTCAACTTTAATTTCTGATTATTGTAAGCTTTGTGATGTCAGACTGTCATCCACATGGGACAAGATTTTACACCGCTCAGGAGTCACCAGAAAAGACAATGAGGAGGGTTCTGTCAATATCAGAACAAATGGAAATTCCTGTGGTATCATGAACCTATCTCAAGCAGATGCCCAAACTAATGCTTACGTTTTGTCTGAATCCAAAGCAATATCCATATCCAATGGTGTTAAAGTGACAGGATATTCCTGTGGTTTGTGTGACGTCAAAGTTCCATACCTAGAAGAATTGAACATCCACTTCAATGGGAAGAAACACAGAAAAAGACTTAGAGAGGAGCAAGAAAGATTGCTGCGACCTGACAAAATGTACAAATGTGACATATGCAATGTTTCTTTTAAAACAAGACCTCTCTTCAATCTCCATTTGAAGAGTGATGAACATGAAGACAAAATTGATTCAGTATTCATAGAGAAGTCTTGTGAGTTGTGCAAAGTCGTCTACCCTACGTACAATCAATATCTAGATCATACAAATGGAAAGAGGCACAAGATGAATATTCTAAAGATTGCCTATCAAAACATGAGTAATGATCAAATGGAAACTCCGGATAGGTAACCCTGAGGACATGTCAAAGGGCATGTTGATTCCCTGGGAAATTAATGGGCTTTGAAATTAGTCTTCTTGGTCCCTTTGGTGGACTTAAGAACTAACTTCTGTTGTCTTGAAATTCAACAATCTAATTGTGTTTTCAGGTCAAAATCTTTGTAAGTTCAATTAGATGACATCGCTAAAACCTTAAAATTGTCAAAAGAAATAAATTAGTAAAAATCTGAAGAATCTATCTTGTAATCAATTTCTTAATATTTCAAAATGATTGTATCTTATTGCAGTACGTAAAATTTAGAAACCAAATCTAATGAAATCCAAAATCAATAAATGATAAAACAACGTGTTGAAACTGCAGTTTATATTTAAACATTTACAATTTCAGTTTTATAAAGTTTAAAGTGGTTTTATATGGCATCCCTGTTGTATTTGGTTGTAAAATTGATTCATCCTCAGGGCCTTACAAGACAAAGTTAAAACATGCTCTGTCCTGTTATTTTAAGTCACTTAGATCTCAAAGTTTTATATAGTGGGGCATTTTAGGTTTTTGTACTTCCGGGATGTCTGTACACTGGTAATACCCCGTAGTCAACAAAACTACCCCAAAGAAGTAAGGTAGGTACAGAGGTAACTAACTTGCTTATGGGACGACAGTGCGCTTTCAGTTCTATTATGTTGTGCTGAAAATATTCTTTTGACAAGCAAGGAACAGCCCATTAGCGGTGACCACTGAAGAGAAATGTCTAAGGCACAGGTCTTATGCCTGCATTATTCCATACATTGCAGTAAGTATATTTTATTTTAAAGAATAATACAAATATTATACAGAAATTCCAAAACAAAAACAAGATGTCAAGCAGATTTTGTTAGGTGCGACTGGTTCGAGCATTGACTATTGGACCAAAATAATCAAAGGTGCTAGCTTTAAATATTTTGTTGAATTAGACGTCCCATCCCAATTGTCGTATGTGAAGTGAGCCACTAATGATTGCACTGATGTAAATTACTGATTTCTGTCAAATATTTGGGCTTTTGAACCAAAAATCTTATTCAAACTTATATGTAGGCTCTAGGATTATTTAAAAGTAAAATATATCATAAACAAATATGAGAGAAAATAGAGCTTAGACCCTAAGCACAATCTTACACAGGCTCACAGAGATGTTCTTATTGAATGAAATTTTTGCAAAAGCTGATCCATATAGATTATACGTCTTCTTTTGTACCGCACCTATCCAAAAAGTCAATGGTACTTAGGCATGCCATAAATAATTTATGGATTTGTCACTACCTCACAGAAGTCATGTCCAAATTGTCATTCAAAAAGCACCTGTGTCAAGGTTACTCCGAATAACCAACTCATTGGCAAAATTCATTTTTATATTATTTTATCTATTCATAAAACTTGTCTTTTCTTCTTATTAAACATACCTACTACTACCGTAGATAAAACCATATAAAACATACTCCACCTACATTATATTGGTACTAATTTTATGTTTTTTTTCACACCATTATTCATCTGCTTTTTTGGGGGAACGGTCCAAACATTGGACATACTTGGATGGTCTATGGTTCTAACTTTGGTCATGTTGCAAGGCAGCAATCAAATCAATGTGCAAAGCCAGTATTAGCATAGATGAAGTAATATAATACTTCATCTATGGTAGGTATTAGTAATGCTAACGCACCTCTGGATTAACTATTTCTATTAACTAACAAGCCTATGCAACTAATGGTTAAAAAACCAGGATCAGTCAAATGACACCGGCATGTCAATGTAGTACTGATATACATCCCCACCACAACAAACCTGGAGACTAAGAAAATTTGAAAATTGGCTAGATTTTCACAAACATTTTCATTCTGATGTCTTGCCTATTTAAATAAGAATAGACCTTCATTTATTTATAAGAATCAAGAATTTTTATTCATTGTAAAGCGCTATATAAGTGCTTAGATTAGCCTAAAAACCTAATAAATTGGACTTTTAGAACCTCCTAGCCCTCTTAGATCCGACCCCCACGGGTAAGTACTTTTAGTTAAAGACCCTTCCCTACAACTGTAGCAAATTTGGCTTATAGATGAATTTTTCCTCCATTTGGTACATTTTTCTCTTTGTTGCCTGGACCTCATTCAAGTGATTCAAGATTCATGAGATTTATTATACCATTCAGTAATAATAATAAATAAAATAGGTAACGTCAAATACTAAAAATAAATCAAACCAATTAGTATAAATAAATGAAATTTTTACCATTAAACCATGCTGAAATTGGTTAATCTCACACAGCAAACCATGCAGTTATGGCAAAAAAAATGAAATTGTGACACATACCTAAGTTTATAAATAAAATTACAAATTAAAACAATGGCCAGCCTTTCAGAGCATCATAAAATTCAACCGATTCATAAAAATGATTCCTTTCTAGTCAATCTTTTACAATTTTGGTAAATTTAGACTTCGGCAACGACCGAACACTTTCTGGGAGAGCATTGTAAAACTTTAACAGTAATTTTGCCTGTAACAGGAAAACAGTTATTAGTTTTACTCAATCTATTTCTACTTAAATGTAAATTGTTTTTGTTTCTTGTGAGATATGAGTGGACATCCTTGTTGCAAACAAGATTTTCTTATCTGATTTTTTTTTCTTTGTAAATATAGACATTCACAACATTCATAATGTGAAGTTCAGCGAACAAATGCCTACAATGCTCCAGACAGTGAACCTGACATATTATACTCAGATAGCCTTTTTCTGAGCATGCGGGGAGTGACCCCACAGGAGTGTGCCATATACAATATGGGCCTGTAAAAAAGAAAAGAAAGCAAGTCTCCGAAAGTTAAAAGGTAGTTCAGAGGTCATCTATGTGGTCATCCCACGCAAGCTCCGAATCCAGGGCGAAACCCAGCAATCTTTCAGACTCATCACTGGAAATATTTTTACTAAGGCTAAACATGATTTCTTGAGTTTTGGCCGCATTTAAGGCCAATTTATTTCCATCAAACCATTGAGTCGTTTCATTTAACAATGTGCTAATAGAATTTTTTGCCATAATATGACCAATATGTGTAGCAAAAATAGTGATATCATCCCCGTACGTACATCAATATATCATTTGGGACACCATAATACAAGTCATTCATGGCAACAATGAATAAGAAAGGTCAAAGGATTGAGTCCTGGAGGACTCCATTGCTTAATCGCTAGAGATTTTGACTCATCCCAGCCCAGGATACAACCTGAAACCATAGATAAAACATATGTTTTATCTATGCTGAAACCTATTTTCAAGGTAGGACTCAAACATTTTGAGCACACAGGCTCCAACCAAGGCCCCACTGGGTCCTTGCTCCAACACCATACCTTGAAAGATTTTTGACAAGTAGGTCATGCGGCACACAATCAAAAGCGCGTGACAGATCATATAAAGAGATCACATTGGGAAGTACACTTTCTTCTGTGACATTACACTTCATGGTACGACTAGTACCATATTTATGTTGAAACGACGAAATGATGACATTGCATTGCAAACATAGATTAAACATAAACTTACTCCCTTATTGCAACTGCGTAATCGGACCAAATATAGATCAAAATATTCCAAATATACTACGTTTGTGTAAGTTGTTGATTTGTAAGTATAGAGCTGCATGGCACTAGTATTTGGCCTATGCACATTTATTGGAGGAGTGAAAAAATATATATTAATTTTTCCCGCCAGTTTAGTTTCATATTGGTTTTGTTTTGTTTTGTTTTTGTTGTTTCGTGTTATTTTATTTTGTGATGTGACAAGCAGTTTTTAGGTTAGGATATATCTCGGTTGTTTTTATTTTTGTTTATACCAAAAGATTGAAGTGGAAACATATTATACGGTTATTTTTACTACCAAATATTTGTATCCATACATATTTATCTTAATTTAGTTTGAATTATTTAACTTAGTTGTATATTTAGCCAAAACAAGAAAATGTGTCAATAACAACACCAACACCAGTGATAGCATTTCTTGGGACATTACATTACCATATTAATAATGAATGAAGGTGCTTCAACTCGAAGGTAACTTGGGGATTTCCCTTTCTAGGCATCAGTTATTGGCCAAATAATTTAGGTTTTGATTTTGGCTTTAGTTTGCACCCGTCCATAGTTTTAGATGTCGAAAGGTTTGCACCTAAGTTAGTTCATTTACTGTAGGCTATGGGTAGACTTCCGTATCTGTTGTCAAAAACAACCGAATAAAAATATAGATTGATATACCTATTATTTCATTCAACAGATACGGAAGTGTACCCGGCTATATCAAGTCTGTAAAACCCCAGATTTCATATCAGTCAGAATTACCTATGCAATATCCATAGGCTATAAAATAAGCTTGTTCTCCGCCCAATTTTACCCTGTTGCCCATTTCAAAGTCAGACTCAGTAAAAATTAGAGAATTTTAGGTCTAGCTTTTGTAAAGGCCATTTTGAACCCAACCCCTAACCTTACTGATTTTACCATATAAATGTTACATTGAGACGTTTTATTCTTACCTAGGCCAATTAACTTAACTTTGAGCGCTTTGGGGATTTTGTAGCAGCTGCAGGTTAGGGCCTATCTCATTTCTACAACTGCTTTGCTGCTACTAGGTCTTGGCAATTGCCAAAAACAAACAAAATATCATACAAACACTGACAAAAAACTTTTTACTCTATATTCAGTAACTTAAGGAGAACATTAACTAATTGTCAAGTGATGGGAAGATAGTGGACCTACCTTAAGGCAGTTTTTAAGTTATCTTGTTGTGTCCCACTAAACTTAAGCTTACCACATTGTAGGTTCTTTTACAAATTGCATTTATTAAGTTATTTGATAAAAGCATATGATTGGTACTTCTAAAGGTCAAGACGCAAATGAAACAAAACTGAAAGAATATAATTGCAATGGAAAATTTGGGAAAGATTGGTGATAAGAACAAGGTTAAAGCAGTAGGCCTACTTACTGTGGCTACTAAAGTAGAACCTCAATAACAAGACTCTCATGGGGTTTATATTAAAAGACTTGTTATCGAGGGTTGACTTCTTATTGAGGTTTGCAGTAACATGTGATTCGGTGTAAAATAATTTCAAGAGTATTTTAAAATTGCACTTGTTATCAAGGGTGGCTTGTTATCGAGGGTCTTCTTATCAAGGTTCCACTGTACCATACTTACATGCATACGGCACCTTTTGAGTACCTAGTCTAATAAATTCTGTCAGCAGATTTGCCGGCAGACTTTTTAAACTAATCTACAAGGTAGCCTAACATTGGGGATTTAGGTTAAAAATTATTAGGCTATCTACAGTAGAATGTATCAAAGTAAGGAAGCCGCAAATAATGGACACACCCCATCCTTGAAGCTGTAATGTTATGGTGGGAATACCAAATTATGCTAAAGAATTACAAATATCAACGTGAAATTTAAAATGGAGATATAGTTGCCAAACTTATTTAGTTTTAGCCAAAGTTATTTTTCCAGCTACGTCCGCAATGAGGAAGATGTTAAAATTATGATCAAACATGCTAAATTAGAAGAAGAAGATTTAAAGCCACTTTCTCAAGCAATTTATTTTTCAAGCAAATTTGACGAGTATAAACTTTTAGAGTTAAACTCTCAAATATTAAGTTCATTAACTGAAGGCCAGAGGTAAGTTACCTGTGATATTTAAGTCTTTTCTCCTTTGTTATTACCTGTGCAATACTAGTAGAGCTCTAAAGAAGAATAGTACTTAAGGTTTTGTCATACGATATTCCCGCATTTTACATTTATCAGAGAAGATAGAACCTGATTTAAGTTAGTTTAAGGAATGGTTTGGAACCAGTAGCCTGTTAAACCACTTCATAATTTAGTTCGAAGTAAGTTATACTAAAATTTACAATTTTATGAGTGTCTTATTTAGGTCTACCTACGTTTTTGTATTTACCGATTTTACAAGTCATTATCATAGCAGCTTTAGCTTTGCAAATATTGATTGGATTTGCACGATGCCAAGACAACTGGGTGGCTATTTCATCACAAATATGAATGTTGAACGGATTAGATGACAGCTTTGTCATTGACTAGGATCAGCTAGTTCATTAGCTAGGATTAGCCTATTTATTAAAAGCCCAATGACCAAAGACAGCTGGGGTCCAGTTTCGAACGATTAAAAATATTTGGACTTTTCTTAGGATCGAACTGGCAATCGTTTGATAACTTTGCGATTACTTAGCTACCTAGCTATATGATAATAATTTATTAAATATTTATATTCTATTGGTAATACCAATAGAATCTTAATATCCTACTGTTATTCTTACTTAATAAAATGTAAATTGCATTTAAAAATAATTTTTTGTAGGTCTATCAATTTTTTTCATTTACAGAGTCGTGTTTCGGGGTTGCAAAGATGATAAGGCAGTTCTTTGCACAAATGATAAAACGTTTGAGGTGAAAGAGGCTGAGACTTCTAACTCGTTGCTTCTTTTACCAACATTAAAGCTTGCAGTTGATTGTGAACCTGTTTCTGAAGATGGGAGCAGAAAGTTGGAAGAAACTGAGGTAGGTCTTTTTGGTTAATAAAAAACATAGGGCATTGTTCATCCCATGGAGTCCTTGTCCATCAGGAGTAACATTACAGAACCTCCAATTAATAATACAGTAGAGTCCCGTTAGTCCAAAATGGTTGGGACCGGGCCCATTTCCGATTACCGAATAATTTTTTTTTTGGATTAAGCGTACTTTCGGATTACCGGTACGGAAGTTCGGATTATCGGGACTCCACTGTACTGTATATATGTGAGCAAGTCACCAAAAGTTGTCTCCGGCCAGGAGACAGTACTACAAATTGAGAATTTGAGTACCTGACTCAGTCAGGACTGGTGTGCGACTCATGATAAGTTCACCAGTCTGCATGACAGAGCTTGGTGGATCCGCGCACCTAAAAAAGTTGTGGTCAGCTCAGATAGAATTAACAAAATAGGGCCTAGGCGGACTCTTTGAGAGTCACTCCTCAAATTAGGCTCTCTTACTTTTGCTTATTGTGTACAAATATTATTTCAGGCAATAAGAATTTGCATTGTCAAGTACAAAAATAATTGAATAAAACAATAAAAGGGATAAATAAATCAATGAATAATTCCTTAAGATTAAAGGGTTGTTGTCTCTCCCAGTTATCGCAAACATGGCAAACTAAACTTATACAATAGGGCTCCTTTACATAAATTTGTATTTAATTTGTTGTGTTTTCTACTCATTGACAGTTTAATGTCTTTTACTAGGGAACTGTCCAACCCCTGGTCTTATTCCTAGCTGACTTAAACTTTTTGCTGGATAGTACCATTATTTATAACCCAATGACAAATGGCAAACAAAACCGAATTACAATCATCAGATTTTAATGCAAGATTACTTGGCTACACAAACAATTATAGGCAAATGATTGAACTACAGGTATTTTCACCTTGTTTTGCTGTTTCAAATACATTGTGGAAATAATTTTCAAATGACATATCATGTTCAGATTGTGGGAGTGTTTCACACATACCTGGAGCTTCGGCTCACCAAGCCTCGACTACGTAGACTCAGAGCATTGTTGGAGCCGAGTAGTTACAGAGGCTCGGAACTAGAGGACAGTCTGCGAGAGTCTGGAGTGAAGTTCTACACAACACAAGACCTGCTGGAGGTTGTACAGGCCAGTGAAGAGGAACTGCTGCATGGTTTGGCAGAACTGGGTGTTTGCCAGATGGACGGTGAGTTGATAAAACAGTCATTTTTACGATGCTGACACAACAGCATGCTTAGTTTAAGCTAAAGATGAGTGAACGATGAGTATGTCAATAACAAATCAGACACCATCAAAATCGTTATAATCTAAAGATAGGCATATTTTGTACGTAATATATTCCATTTTTGATGTTAGCCTCCGGATTACGATGAATATATTAAATTGGTGTAAATACCTGCTTTGTTGTAATCCTGATTGTTGCTAGTGTCGCAACTAGTTTTTACTTTCTACAAAGTCATCTACAGGCATCAAGGATGTCAAAAGTGTGGTCACTTCATATGAAGGTCGTCGTTACATACACAGTACATAAACACACGAATACGAACATTAAAATGTTAAAAACGGTACTTTTAAAACGATTAAAAAATGAACAAAACATTCCTATACTGTACTTATGTAACTGTTTTGTTAGTTTTTTTAATCGTGTTCATGTTAAAAGTACTGTTTTTACCATTTTAATGTCTGTGTTTGTGTTGGTGTGTTTATGTACTGTGTGTTAACAACGACCTTTATATGAAGTGACCACCCTTTTGACATCCTTGACACCTGAAGACGACTTTGTAGAAAGTCGAAACTAGTGCGACAAGCAACAATCAGGATTATTACGAACAGGTATACAGGTATTGACACCAATTTCGTAATATATTCATCCTTAATTTTACTAATCAATGAGTTTGCACAGGTCATTGGAGACTGCTGGAGTTTGATTACCATTTCCGAGTTCTCTCTTACTTCCTGAACCTCGTAGACTCCAACTCTTGGAATGTGATGTGTATCCCCTACAAAGAGACGGTGGATAACTTGGAAGACCTAATGCCGAGACCAATACTCGACCATGTGTTTCATCAATATGCGGAGATGTCCGGGGATAGGGATGATGAAGGTGGGACTTTTTGGACATTTTTAATGAATGATGGGAAATAACTGTTTTGTCAGTCCGTATGGAAAGTAGACCTAGATAGTTTTATGATAGGTGATTTTAAAGGAAATAATTGTTTCCCAAGCTGTTTTTATAGCAAAGATATATCTTTGCTCACTTTATGCTCTCAAGTCTCTTGTCATTGCATTTTTTTTCAATTAAATCACAGAGAAGTAAGGTACAGAGGATACATGCTTATAGGACGACCGTGCGCTTCCAGCTCTGGTATGTTGTGTCGGAAATATACTTGTGATGAGGAAGGAAGAGCCAAAACACTGTTCGGAAATTCCTGTTGCAAAGGATTCTATGTCTTCCTCCACCGTGTGCGTCGTAGTACATGAGGGCAAGAAGGGCGGTGTTGGACTAAACAGAGACAAAGATTACCTATTTTTTTGCATTATGATGAAATGTATTAAATCCATAACTTTTACCAAATGTATTTTCTGGCTCTTGCACCAATTATTCATGTAAGAGATCAAATCACTTATATCCTTTCAAACTATCACATAGTTTTACAAATGATTAATTTTTTTCCAAACAGCTGTGTAACAATGCATTTATGTATTGGAAACGCAAACATTGTAGTTATAGTATTGTTCTTCTTGTCACCATTGAGAATAATCAATATTTATTTCCCAAAGCCCCACATCAGTACTTTGAAAGTATGGGGGGCAAAGCTTGAGGTTCAAAATCAAAACAAGAATAAACTTATAAAGATAACTTAGATTTACAGGTTACAGGTTAACAAAAATCCCAAATAACCATGTAACCAACTTACTCTTTCTATCTAGGTGAACCCTTATACAGTTTGAAGGAAGAAAAGATCTGCAGATTCTTGGCAGAAGTGCTCTTGCGGTCGGCTGGAAGATTTAATCTTCAGGAGTTTCTACAAGCTTGGCAGGAGAGTGTGCCTGAAGGTATTGATAAGTTACACAACATTAACAAACAAACAAATTAATTGTCATTCCATATCGTTGGAGTTGGATACAAATTAAAATTTTGTATTATTACATTTGCTGCGACCAGTCAATAGCAAAGTCAAACCAACCCGATTGCCTGATTAGCTTTCAAATATTTCGGTCTGACAAATTGCAAATAACGCGCGGTGATGTGCTGCGTTACGACGAGAGTCGACGTAGTTCGCTAAAATACCCACAGATAGCAGCACTGCTTGGAACGTAGCTGGTCCCATTGTATTTCCAATTTGAGGGAGAAAAATGGGACAACAAGTTTATTTCTAAGCTTGCCAGACGGGGATTTTACGGGGGGAAATACTACCAACCTACACGACAATAATTGATTATAGACTGGTATTAGGGACACAATTCTTGCGTACCAACCGTCCTCGGCTAGATCCTGAGCCATAATAACAGGGCTAACAATGTATTGTGCACTGTGCCCCCGGTGAAGCAGCCGCCTTACACCACGGCATGCCATGCGTCACCGGGGACGCAGCCGCAACAAATTTGTTAAAGAAAGATAAAATGCAAATAAAACAAGTGAAGTAACGGTTGAGCTAGATGTTTAGTGAGTCATTAACAGTCATAGTCCTCAGTATTCTTCTTTTAGTAACAATCACTGTTCATGCAGCAAATTATTTGTCTGCCATATTTTTGCCGCAGTGAAACATCTCCATGTTGATTAACCTGGCTCAGTGTGAATGCAGAGCTTAAGTAAGTTGGACTTTGAAGGATCTTCTCCAGAAGAAGGTAAATGTTTTGTATAATTCTGTTACAGGACTTAATACTGACTTGAAGCAACTGGCTGGGATGGCTTTGGTTGAATTGAATGCTAAACCTCAAGCAATTTGGTTTTATGCTGAAAGTGAACTCCCAGAAGACATACAAGAAAGAATCAATACACTGTTTCAAGTTCGGGAAAAGTGGACTTTTGATGAAATACATCCTTACATTGAGTAAGTTTATTACTTCATAATGGATTGATCTTGTGATTGTCGGTTAATGTTGGATTGATCCTTGGTAGTTTTATTTAACCCTCGAGCAGGCGCTTCTGCTTCAGCAGTAAAATAAGGAGCGGGCGTATGCGGAGTTTTATTCCGCAAACACTAAATAGCACTAATTTAACTGACACCGCGTCACTGAATTGCAACTGACAAGGAACATAGGGGAATTTGGGGGTAAAAATATTACCCCCTATTTTTGCCCCCAAATTCCCCTATGTTTCTTGGAATGAGGTATGTGAGATACAGAGCCGGACACGACTGCAAACACCCGTAATGCTTATTTATATATCAACAAAAACGTCAAGATGTGGAGGAAAACTCTGCAAGCGCCCGCTCAAGGGTTAACTAGCTGTAATATCATATGATGAAAGATAATCTTCAGGTGAGATACCATTAAGCTACTTAAAAAATACCTGGTGTTTGACAACGGTATTGAATTATTAAGAAAACAAAACATTACTGTATTTATTTTTTTGTGTTTATCGGCTTTAAAACTAAATACAAAACAAAGGGTTGATTCGGTGACACAGTTGATTAAAACATCTCATGTTAAATTTTGTATTAGTTCAACATTCTTTAAAAAGTTTGGTCTTAATATTATTATTGGAATGATGTTTCTAAAATAAATAATCAACGGGGAAAATCTTGAAAAGTGAATGACAGCATTAACAGAAAATTGATACGTTGGCATACATGACTTGTTTAGTAATGTGGTGTTATAAATAAGGTTTCACATTAGAAAAAATATTTTGATTTCAAATACAAATGTTGACACCATACTACAGTGGTCTGCTTTGAGCAATGCAATGCAGCGAGACAGAGAACCAATTGGTTTTTTTTAGCATCATCACTCAACATTTAAAATCCAAGCCACATGGAAAAAATGAGTTATGTATAAATTAAATTTTATGAGGGGCATGTGGTAAATTATTTGTGTTATATAACCTAATACAGTAGAACCTTGATAATAACACTCTCATAGGGAGTGTAAAATAAAACTTGTTATCAAGTTTAACTTCATGATCTTGTTATCGAGGTTTTAGTTTATATATATATTTTTTTTTCAGGAAATTAACAACGGAGAAACTGAATGCCAATGCTCTATTAACAAAATTTGCAAGAGCTTCAACAATTAATGGTGTCCGCTACTACAGTGCAAGGCATGGGAAGTGAAACTGCTTATCAAGAACTTTGTTCCTCGATTAATTATTTATCAGTTTAACTGTTAATCTTTACAAGAAAGCTGTTGGAAAATCTTTGCAAAATCTGTCTGTTTGGACAGAAACTATTAAACATCGAAGGACGTAGTTAACAAAACAATGTAAATACAAATTTGTGTGTACGAGTCCTATTGTACAAGTGATTTGTGTTATGTTTGCAATAACTGAAAAAGACAATACCCTTTTAACTTCAGGGATTTTTCATTGATTATCCACTTAATTGTACAGGGTGTGGAAAAAAACCGATCTATTTTATGTAGGGCATTGTTCAGCAACGGGTTGTCTGGGAGTGGTGGGGTTAGATTCGTTGGAAAGCCTACCTACACGATGCCATTATCTGTGGTCTTAGAGCAGTGGTCACCTGAGCATCGTCCGTTTGTTATCTAGTCATATTTAAAAAGTAATGATTCACGCATTGCAACTGAATGGCAATTTCATGCATTTATTTTTATTTTTTTAAATTAGAAGACGTCGATTCCGTCAAGAGGCACAATCATGTGGTGTGGGTTATAACATTAGAACAATGGCTTCTGCGTTCAAAAAGAAGCTGACAAGCCGTTCAAAGTCAGATCGGACGTCAGACAACTAACATTTGATAGAGTCCGTGCTGCCGTGTACAGTCCTCGTAGGCCCACCCGAAAACAAACATCTGCTTAGAACATGTATGACCGCTCGGTTAACACGTTCACTGCGGGCGTATCCGATCGGATACGGGCCGAGCGCTGTTCAGGTGCTGCCGTTACCGATCGGATACGCTTGGCGATGCCTTTTGTATATCATCGTTTTTGCTCTAGTGTCGGTCGAAGGCAGACCTATTCCACGTTAGCGTGTAGTGGGTGACTTGCTTTTTGTTGTGTTGTAGGTTGGTAGTAAAATTTCCCCATAAAAATCCCCGTCTGGCAAACTTAAAAATCAACTTGTTGTCCCGTCTTTCTCCCTCCAATTGGCAATACGATGGGACCGGCTACGTTCCAAGCAGTGCTGCTGTCTGTGAGTGTTTAGCGAACTACGTCAACTCTTATTATAAAACAGGACATCACCGCTTGTTATTTGCTATTCGTCATACCGAAATATGAGAGCCAATCACCCGGCAATGGCTACGCCTGCCATTCCTGCCATTTGATGGCCCGCAGCGAACGTGTTAAACTTGTTTTGAGGTTTGATCTTAATCCTTATCCCTGCAGATAATCGCAACGGAACCTCTCCATGTCGACCTAATTTAAAGAATGTATGGAAATGCCGCTAAGTTGCAATGACTAAATCAATAATTTTTAAAACAACTCGATAACGACTTGATGATTTGGTTGCCTGTTGCTCAGGTAACCACTGCTCTATGACTACAGATAATGGCATTCTATTTTTGAAAGACATGTTTTTAGGCGAGGTATATTATACTGTATTGGAACCCACCACTGAGGAAAAACCCATTACTACTGTTTGTATACCCTATATTAAAAATGTCTCAGATAAATTAAGGCGCATAAATTCAAAATACAAAATTTGTACAGTTTTCAAAAGTAAAGACACAATTCGTAGCCGTCTCACCAAACTAAAACCTGAAAATGAACAGCAAAACACAAAAAATATTATCTATAAAATTCCTTGTTCGTGTGGTAGAAACTATGTAGGGCAAACGTCAAGGCCAGTGACGGTGAGGATTAACGAACACGTTAAAAAGGTTAAAAATAAGGATAGGTATGGCTCGAGAATCTGTGAACATGTATTAGAGACAAAGCACACAGTAAAATGGGATTCCAGCAAAATTCTATACAAAGAACCGGATTGGAGGAAACGGAACATGGCAGAGTCGCTATTTATGGCTATTGAAGATGAGCCTCAATCACGACCATCAGTGGATGTTAGTACTGTTTATTTACCAATAATTAAAGAAGAACTAGAACAGCTGAGAGACAAGGCCAATGATGTCAAAGGCTTATCTACAATAACCAGTACGTCCACCAACCCCCCTGCCCTCCCCCCCTCTACTGGAACAGCTGATCCGGCAGTCGTGGTTAGGCGTTCGGCTCGTGTACGCGAGAGAAACAAAGTTTTTATTCCCTGAGGAAGCGGGACGTTATCTTGGTCCCGCGAAACGTCGGAGTAAATTAATCCAAGGACGATTTTTATGTGCGTGTATGTGTGTTTGTGTCTTCGTTGTGTTACATTTGACGAGTCCTGGATTAACAAATTAAGGTGAGTGAAGCCCACAAGCTGAACAATACAAGATAATGGCATTGTGAAGGCTTTCCAACGAGCCTACCCCACCACCCTCAGACGACCTGTCGATGAACAGTGCGCTGCAAAAATAGATCGGTTTGTTTGCCGCACCCTGTATACCATTTCATTATCTTATGTACTCAACAATGCAAATTCTGTTCGGCTAAAATAAATTTTATACACAAAATAAGCAAGTAAAAAAAACAAAAACCTAATTTGAGGTGACAAAAAAAATTACCAATATTGTTGAATACTGAGCTTACCACCATTTAAATACTTTAGGTGAGCGGATCCACCGAGCTCTGCCATGCAGACAGTTGAACAGTAGACCTGACTGAGTCAATGATTTAAATTCTCGTTGCTGTCTCCTGGCCGTAGAGATGATCATATAGATATTATTAAGTGAAGGTTCTGTAATGTTAGTCCTGATTTACATTGTACAAGGACTCTGGGATTTTTGCTCCCATCTTCAGAAATGAGTTCACACACTACTGACTCATTTGGTTAGTGGGCTCAGTTGATATTGCAACCGACTATGGAGTAAGGACAGGTAAAAATTTAAATTATGGTTGCCAACCTTTTAAAAAATAAATAACTAAAACCAATATTTATTTCTGGTATAGGCCATAGGTAGGTAGTATAGGTATTAATCAGAAATTTCAGTTCCAAACTTTTAACTGGCTTTGTGTATTTATTTATAAGTTTCTAGAATATGATTTTCTGAAGTAAGCTAGTTAAACTTTATCCCTCTGTTTGTTTGTAATGTATTATATTTGTATAATAAAATATATTTATTTTCTCAGTTTGATCTTTTGTTACTAAAAGTTTTCAGCCAATTTTTACTAAGAGGTTAATGCATATTTTTAAACATTTTTTATTCAGTTATTTAAGTTCTCTCTATCCATCCCTATGGTTTTCTGGGTCTCTATTTTGAAAACTCAAAATTCATTGATAGAGCTTATAACTTGTTACCAAACTGCAGTACAGGTTTGCAACCATATTTACCGGTAATTCATTATACTGATAAAGATAAAAATAAGAAGTTAGTTTATCACCTCACAGAAACCTCTTAACCCCCTCATGAGATCTCTAATCCAAGCTTGTGTTATATTTTCTGTTTTTTTTCTTCCTGACAACAAGAAAGCAAGTTTCTCTTTTGTTAATGCTTGCAAAAAATAGCAATTCAATATTTTTAGAGCTAAGCGAGCCCAAATAGAAAACTGGGATTGTAAATTAACATCAGGCTAAAAATCACTTTTTATTCAACCCAAATTAACACATAAGTTGAATAAAACTTCCTTACAACATACAGATCCAAATACACTTGTTACAAAATACAGAGCTGTAATCTATTTCTTCTGGCTGTAGAAATAGAAAATGACATCAGCAGAAAAAGTTAATCTTCTGGTTTCTCAGGAGGGGGTCCACAAGGTTGCAGCATTTTCTCCATTAAATTAAACCTGACTCGAGCTTTGGCCTCGTTCTCGTTGATAGAGAAGTAGTTGAGCATGTCGAAGTGACCCATGTAGGAAGAGAACGAGTCTCGATGTTGGTTCACCATCCATTCAAACTTGTTGGTGTCAGCATGACCTGTGCCGATATACTTGGACTGCAGATGTTCTAGTTGACTGTGGATGTTGTAACGGTCGCCCATCTTCGGCTAACCTGAAAAGAGTTCAACCTGTTAAAATAGACCAATACAAGCTTATTACAAACAAGGGCTAGGGGTATTTAAGTAATTTATTCTTATCTAGGTTTTGGTTTTGGTGGAGGATGTTCATCAATACTGAGGTTATTTTTTGCCTGAAAGATCCAACTTTTTCCAATAAGTGGACGAAGAGCTTGAGGTGAGATTTGAACCACTGTGTATCTGTAAGTTGTGATAAGGTATTTGAATTCAATTACTTACAAAAAAAGTTTGGTCTGCTTATACCAGCCACTCTTTAATTTAAAAAAATAGATGTTACATACCACAACTTCGTGGTTCAAATCCCACCATAAGTTGCTGGTTCATTTATTGAAAAAAGTCTGATCCTTCTCAGGCAAAAAATAACCTCAATATTAAACTCCCTCCACTAAAAGGCACAAAATAATATGATTTTTAGCCTATTAATTTGGTAGCGTTGTTGCTTGATTCTAAGAGAAATGTCAAACATTTGTTCAATCAATTCATTTTTGATTAATTTATTTTTTAAATAGCACCAGGCTTAAAGCCGGGTTTACACTATGTCAGTTGGCGAGACAATTGTCTTTGCCAATTGGCATCACGTGGTTTTGAAATTGTTGTAGGCCAGTCCAGTTGAACGCGGACCTGTTCACACGTGGCTGACAATTGCCTAGGCATTTTACATTGGAACATGGCTGAGTGCTCATCGTCTGTTGTGTCCCGAGAGGACGTAAAAATAATTTATAATAAGTTTAAATTACTCAAAAACGGCTGATTTAAAAACGTCAAAAACAATTTTATTTTGCATTTTTTATTCCCTATCAAACCAAGTTCCAAGTTAAAAAATAATATATAGTTGAAATATTATGATCTTTAATTAGCCTACGGAAAGTAAATAAAAGAAACGTCTTAACACTTAAAACATATATTTACGCTTATACTGTTACTCAGAAGACAATAAATATACAAAAAAGATGGTAAGTGGTGATCGATTTCGATTGGACACTCCAATCATCATCAGACCCAATAGGCGAATGACTTATTGTCCCTATTGATAGCCTAATTAATTGGGGTACAATTTCTTAACTGGGCTAATATCGATTGACAGTAGACTTCCGTATCTGTTGGCACAAACAACCGAATGAAAATATTGATTATTTCATTCGATATAACTTATCAATCGATATTTTCATTCAGTTGTTTGTGCCAACAGATATGGAAGTCTACCCTCAATTGAAACAATCGAATTGAAAATATTGATTAGGCCTAATAATCTATATGTTTAAACAAAGGCCTGTCTTTTATAAAATTAAACTGTCATAACCTAACCTAAATTGCTGATGATGAAAAAATCGCATGAAGGTTTACTAGCCTAATCGAATCGATAGTTTCAATCCACATTAGCATAGCCCAGTTAAGAAACTGTACTTGATACTTGATACTTGTCTTCTTTATCTTTGACCGTGGTTACGGATTGATAGCGTCAAATTTTTAATACTATATACAGTAATAAAAACATATATTTACAACATAAATACTAAATACTAAGGCTGTGGCGGAAATTTCAACCCGGCATGAGAGGTTCCTCTATTAACTCTTGCACGCTATATGTAGAGGGGCCTTTGCAAGAGAGAATTGCTCACTGTGACTTTAAAAGCTTTCATTTCTAAGTTCCTGACTCTTTCGGGCAGGGTGTTAAAAATCTTTATAGCAGAGTGCGGGTAGCTCTTTTGTGTTAGACTTAATATCTATAAGTATAAAAGAGGATGTTTGTATATATATTTGTTTGTTTGTTTGTTTGGGGGTGATAAACTCGGACACCGCTGAACCGATTGCCACGAAACTTGGTACATACGTGTAGAATGTCATGGAATAGGTTTATACACCATCAATTTCGTGATCCGTCCAATAGGCTCCGCCCCAGTGGCTCTGGAGTTTCCCATGTTAACCTTATGAGAAATGGAATTAATGAATCTTAACAGCTGTTTCAATTAAACAAGTTGGTTCTGTTCTATGATGTTCAATAGCATTAAAGTTACAAGGATTACCAACAGGGTGCAGCACTATTATTTCTTTTACATTTATGACAACAGCTAATTTGCAACCAAAAAGGTGAGTGAGCGTAGCGAACGAGCTAACCTGAAGGCAAGTGAGCGTAGCGAACGAGCTAACCTGAAGGCAAGTGAGCGCAGCGAACGAGCTCCAACCTAAAGGTGAGTGAGCGTAGCGAACGAGCTCCAACCTAAAGGTGAGTGAGCGTAGCGAACGAACTTCAACCAGGACGTGATTGAGCCATGCGAACGAGATCATCTTGAAAATTAAGAAGTTAAACGGGGCAAAGCTCGCGGGTTACAGCTAGTAGAATAATATAGAATTAGAATAATTAGACGGCAGCGAGGCATGTCCAAGTCATGAGCTCTACGTGTTCTGTGGTTGTGATGGCTACTTCTGCTATTAAAGCTGGTCAGGTTCTCTTTTAACAGTAGGCTGTTCAGGACATACTGGCTAGCAACGGTGAGGATACCCAATTCTTTAAAAAGGGGTTGGCAGTGTTCTCTTGGGCCGCAGGATGTTATGACTCTCAAGGCTTCCTTTTGCAGCAACAGTATATCCTGGGCAGAAAGAGATTGGCCCCAGAGTACTATTCCATACAGTATATGGCTATGGAACAAGGAATGGTAGATGGTAATCAAGTAGTTTTTAGCGATAACCTCTCTAAGCTTCCTGAGAAGGTAGAGTACTCTTGATAACTTGACGCAAACCTTGTCTGTGTGAATGTTCCAGCCTAACCTAGGGTCAATCCAGAATCCTAATAACTTGACAGCCTCGTCCTGCTCTATTCTCGATTGCAGAGTGCAGATTAGGGATTGGGTTTTCGCCTCATTAATTTTGAAGCAGTTTGTTAAAAACCAATCCTTAGCCATTTCCAGCAGGTTGTCTCCCTCTGCCCTCAATTGTTCAATGTTCTTCCCCCTATTGAACAAGGTGGTGTCGTCAGCAAACAATAAGGTTTGTCCATTTGGGTCCAGATCGTTGATCATTATGCTGAACAACAGGGGTCCGACCACCCCTGCGCCTCATCTTGAGGCACCCCTTGCGGGATAATCTGCACCCTTGAAGAAGTTCCATTCAAAGACACAAGCTGCTTTCGGTCTGCCAAGTAGCTACTTAGGGTGTTCAAAACTGCGCCTCCGATACCATACCTCTCAAGCTTGGCCAACAGTATGTCGTGTGAAACTACATCGAAGGCCTTGCTCAGCTCGCAGAGCCTCAAGAGAACCGACTCGTTTTCCTCGAAAGCATCTGTAATGGCACTAACAAGATTCAAGAGAGCAGAAGATGTTGAGCGCCCACTCCTGAAACCATTCTGAGCATTTGAAAATAGTTGGTTGCTTTCAAAATATGCTGACAATTGTCTCTTCATTATGGTCTCCAGCACCTTGGAGAAGACTGGCAGGATAGAGATGGGTCTATAATTTGCCGGGTCGGAAGGATCACCCTTCTTGTAATTGGAAATAGTACCCAATAATTGCTTAAGAGCTATAGACTAGGCCTAGCTCAAGCCCAGTAATAGCCTAAGTAGGGCCTAGTCAAATAAATATATCAAACCTTAGTCCAGAAGTGGAAACAACGAAGCTTGTTTACGTACGGTAGTAGGTCTACTGTGGTCAAAATAAATAAACGTTTCTATTTTCTAAATTACAGATATAACATAAATAGACACAAACTCGAAACTCATCTCCTGTTCACGTACCTAAATCAAATAATATCAATTTTATCAATTGAATTAACTTGAATTAAGAATTAAGTAAAATTAAAATATTTTGGTTAAGAGAAGAACAATAAAAACACTTTCGTAATCGTTTCATAGAAAAAGCTCACTTCACTCACAAGCTCTGTTATTACATCTCTGTACCATGTAGCTTTCACCGGCTTTCACAAGTATTTTTTTTTTTCTGTAGAATGAACTATTTTTATTCCTAAACAACAAACACTGCTGTAATAAGCAAAGAGCTTAAAAAATAAAAATGTATTTTTTTACAAAATGCACCAATTGAATACTGTATACAGTATATTTTCGTTATGATACTTTTATAAATCAACTTCTTCTTTGATTTAGTTCTCTGGTATTGCATAAGATTTTCTCATCATAAACAACCAAATCAAAGTCAAAGACATTCAAATTAAAATAATACATTTACACGCCTTTCCGGCTGCTACATATTGTTCAAATATTTTGAGGTTAATCTACAAGGGTTTTAATAATTATCTTAGTGAAATAGTGATCAATATTTCAGCCAAGTAAGTTTGCACATCTTTCAATTTCAAAGCATAACCCTTTTTAATTTCATAATATCGCATTCTAGGTATGTGTGTGTCCATACACTTAAATGCTTAAATTATGATAGCCTAGCCTATGTTTGCTGCAGTTGTCACATATTTGTCCAATTAAGTATATAAAAAGTTGCTGTATTATTTACAATATTTTATCGTTTAAACCTGTTTCTGTGTAGGTTAAAAAGTATATGGTTGTTGTTCAGTTTCTAAGAGGTCCCTATGTTCATCCATAGGGCCTAGCCTTTTATAGGCTCTAGGTCTAGCCTAATATCTAGAGCCTAGGCCTGGTCCCACCATAAACACTTCTCTACACTACGGTGTCCAGTATTTGTCCTCTGTCCACTGGAATAGGATGGTTATTCTTTTTAGTCCTTTTCAAGGTGTTTCTGAAAATTGTCTTAGGCCACTTACGTAGTCTACAGTACGGTCAGTTTTTGGCCATTTTTGAGATATAACAACTAAGCCTAATCTTTGGTCGACTTTTCTTTTGCTCATTTTAACTATAGGCCTATCTCTTTTGAAAATAATAAGAATGGTTTCATTCTAGTTATGGTTCCAAGCCATTAAGAAATCTAACCAATTTTTATTAGAAGAAATTGAATTGCAGTGTTATGTAAAAGAAAACACACATTTATGATTTTTTTTCCAAACTGTTCAAGTGTAAGTTATAGTAACTTCTAGCTTAATATGATACATAGGCCTATTTTTATTGTTCAACGTATTCAAAAAGTTAACCATAATAATGTCTTTTTATGTTTTTAGTTTTGTAGTCTAATTTGAAATCTAAAAAAAAAACATTGGACCTCTTACCTATTTTTTGAATATTTTCTCATTTTTTATAATCTAGACCCAGTACGGTACCTGGGACTAAGGTGATACCTATGGTACCGGTATCCTATTTCATAAGTTGACTCCATTCATGATTAATGTGACATTAATCGTGACATTACTTATTACTTTGTTAAAGTACTTAATCCTATTTTATGTACCGGTATTGCTAACTTGATTTAAACCACAGAAAAATGGACATTGTTTCTAGCTACGTAAGTTAAATACACTGTAAGACTTAGGCCTAAGTTACCTAATTTTATGTTAGTTTAACCAACCAACCAGTAATTTATTGATAAGTTTTATTGTGAATTCTTGTTTCAGAAATGCCTCTAACATGTCGCTTTTACAAAGAAAAATATCCAGAAGTAGAGGACGTTGTAATGGTAAATGTGAGAAGCATAGCAGAGATGGGGGCTTACGTCCATTTATTGGAATACAACAACATCGAAGGAATGATCTTACTCTCTGAACTTTCTAGGAGGCGTATTAGATCAATCAACAAACTTATTAGAGTGGGAAAAACAGAGCCAGTAGTCGTTATTCGAGTAGACAAAGAAAAAGGTTGGTATTGAATAGGATAGGATTATTTTTTCTTTTTACATATGAGTAGTTAAGACAGCCATTAACTTAATAGGTTTTGCTCAAAACTTACTTATTCTCCAAGAATAACATTTAAGAATTTTAAATTATTCAGTTTTGATAAAATTTTCTACAACACTTTAGTAGGGTGTATATCCTACTAAAATTTGTTCAAGCTCTACAAAATAGATTGAATAGAAACGGCTAAATTTTATGTTTTTGAGATTAAAAATGGGAAAAACCAATTTTTACCCCATAAAATCCCATTCCAATATTCTGATCATATTGGTTCCTGACCAAACTCTTCAGAATAAAATGTTGGTTTACACGTTTGTAGCAAATTTCATAAAAATTTTAATAATTCTTGATTGATTTATTGTGCTAACGGACATTTATCTGTAGAGATAGGGTTTTTGGGCTCTTATCACCAAGTTCTTTTGCTTGCAGGTTACATTGATCTTAGTAAACGTCGAGTATCCCCCGAAGACGTTGAAAAGTGTACGGAGAGGTTTGCTAAAGCGAAGGCTGTCAATTCCATCTTGAGACATGTCGCTGAGCTGCTGCATTACGAGACCAACGAACAACTGGAGGACCTCTACCAACGAACTGCTTGGCTATTTGAGGAGAAAACCAAGAAAAAGGCATCCGCGTATGATTACTTCAAGCAAGCTGTCTTGTAAGTATTGTCAAAGTGGGTGTATTTAATAATTTCCTTGTGTCATCATAACGTCCTAGACCATTAACTAGTTCCATTTTGCAGAAAAACCCAATTGGCCCTATTTAAGAAAAGTGTTGTATTGTCTAAGAATAATGTGTCAAATAATTGAGTAGTTAAATGTCCAAAACTAAAATCTTAGTGGTAGGTACCTATCATAATGTCCAAGACTGCCCCAAGGTTTTTTCTTAGCAGGTGTTTAAGTTCATTTGTTTCTAATGCAGACCCATTTGATCTTATGTTGATCTCTAGTCCAAATGTGAAAGGTTTCATTTTATCAAGTACCTAATATGAGGGAAATTCAAGTGGGGTTTAAAAAGATTTTTTTAATGATTGAGTTCACTAACCGATAGTTTGAAAAATTTCAGCGCAGGGGCTTGGGTAAGCAATAATGGGTCACATAACAATATTTTGTTCCCTCCCATATTCATTGTCTATTAAGCCATTGGTTTCAATGGCAGAGTGACACTAGTTGTCCTGGAAAAAACAGGGCCCACAAAATAATCTTAAACTTTTCTTACAAGATTTACCAGTACCTACAGTACAAGGGTGAAGTGTACTAATAAAAAGTAGTGGTATTTACCAGGATCTGAACCCACGACATTGCTGCTTGGGCCTGAAGTCCGTGGCACTGCCAACTAAGTTTTTCCAACAAAGATTTCATCCCGATTTCAGAAACTAAAGCTCTTTTAATTTCAGTCAAATCAAGTATAGAGCCACCAATCGACAAAATGTCCTATGGCATTAAATTTATCCCTTGTTCATGTGTTATACTCAATTACTTTTCAGAGATCCCTCCATTCTGGCTGAGTGTGGCCTCGATGAGAAGACCCAGGAAGTGTTGCTGAACAACATAAAGAGAAAACTCACCTCTCAAGCTGTCAAGATCAGAGCGGACATTGAAGTGGCTTGTTATGGCTACGAAGGCATTGACGCTGTCAAGGCAGCACTCAAGGCTGGCCTAGCGTGTTCTACGGAGGACCTCCCCATCAAGATTAACCTCATTGCTCCTCCACTCTATGGTAATTTTGTAGCCTAAATTGATTTTAAAAATAGTCTAAAACTAAACAAAAGCTATCTATGATTTAATTTTTGGGATAGCTGCAAAGATTTTTATTTTTATTTTAGCTAACCAAGATCTTAATAGTAGAGTCACGCCCGTTAGTTTTAATAAGCCCGAAAGAAACACAATATTGTACATTATATAATAGGGTATAATTTTGTATAATGTGCTTGGTGTGCCTGAGTATAATAGCAAACAAAATAGTCTTCTTTTGTAGGCTTAAGCAGCCGCAGTCATCACTAAATTCTCGGTTCTGGTGAGAGCTCAGAGTTTTTACACGGTGTACAAAACCAGACGTTTCGCCCATTGTGTTTCATCCTCAGCTTAGATAGAAGACATGAAGACCGAGAATATAGAAATAGGCTAGGTCGACCAGTGTTATCATTAAGTTGATTATTTGCTTTTTTCCCGTAGTAATGACAACAGCCACACCTGAAAAAGCGGATGGATTAAAAGCTCTGCAGACTGCCATAGAAGAAATTGAAAAAACAATAAAAAACATGGGTGGAGTGTTCCAAATCCAGATGGCGGTAAGTTTTCAATGTTAAATTGTGTTGTGAAACATTATTTTACATAAAAGGTAGCTCTTAATGCCAGATATATTAATGCTATGCTGCATATCAAAGCTGTATTAATTAATGCTTATACTATGTTACATAAATTGGCTTATGTGTAGTCCTTCTCATACTGAAGCCCAACAAAGTAGTGCTCATAATGAAATTGCCTATAGCAAGAACTATTTATACATAGCCAGTATCGTAAAAAAAGCTTTGAAACAATCCCTTAGGAGACCAACTTCCAATTTTTCGGAAGTTAGTATTTTTTGCTAAAAAGACGAACTTCCGATATATCGGCAGTTTAACTCAACAATTATTTCAACAACAACAAAATCTTTAAAAAAAAAATTAAGAACAGCATGCAAGAAATGTTAAAGAGGGCTGATAATCAAAAGTTATAGCCCTTTTCTATAACATTGCAGAAACTGTTAAAAGTGTCCTGGTCCTACCCAGCACGTCATAAACTATAGGGTCGGTCTCTAAAGGGTTGATAACAGAAATTTTATATCCAGAGAAACTTTTATCCTCATTGTTTATATATTGTAAATTAAACAGTTTTAGGTGTAGTTGAAAACTTGTACTGGCCGTGATATGCTGAAAACTTCACTCCAAAATAAAAACCCCTTCTAAAGGTGTGCTAGATTTTTTTCTGTGAATCTCGGGTCTTCTAATTTACCTGAAAATTTATCAATTAGTCTGTGAAAGACACTACTAAACTTAAACAATACGATATATTTAATCATATTTTTGTTGTTTTTTCAATTCTAAATGTGGTTGCAGCCGAAGGTGGTGACAGCCACCGACGAGGCAGAGCTGGCGAGACAGATGGAGCGTGCCGAGGCTGAGAATGCGGAGGTGGCGGGAGATGATGACGAGGAGGAGGAGGGAGAAGGTGAGGATGGGGAGGAGGAAGACGGAGACGCACCCAGTGGCGGAGAGGAGGGGGAAGATGAAGACTAGGGCAATATTTTGTTTAATTTCGCTACATAAACTGGCTTTCAGTATATTGTTTCTTGTGTTTAAATTCCATTTCCAGGATCCTCTCTAAACCGTACTCTGATCAACCACCATTACCCAGGCGAATGTTGTTTTTTACTTATCGGCTTGAGTAAAATTCATATTTATGTGCGTTTTTTATAAAGTACAGTGCTCCAATTTTCAGTAGTGAAAAGTGCTGTGTAGAAGAGACAAATCGTCTTTCTAGGGTACAGTTGATTGATACTGGTATTTGAAGTAGGGGATAACTTTGTGTACTGCCATTGCTGTTTGCGTTCAGTATTTTATATTGGTAAGTATTTTAGATTGGGACCGTGACGTCGTCCTGTAATCCAGCTACTTGGTCACTAATTGTGGATATTTGTAGGCATGCACTGTGTATGCAATACTCTCGGGTGTGGACGTTCACACTTGTGAGTACCACGACTATCCGCACTACTCTGATAATTACTAATTAGTCCAAATTAAAAATTACCAGGCAAAAATGTGGTTCGGATTCCACTATAAACTGTAGGTCCCTTAGTTGCTTTTGGCGTTATGGGCTATTAATTAACAATCCAATTTAAGGAACATGTCGGCCTTAGTCTGTACCAAGACTACAAGATCGCGCCACTCATCCTACACTCATCTCCATTCATAATTGGCTTAAAATACCTATCTTTTTATGGTCGCCAATCCAATTAAAAGTGTAAATGTATACGAAAACGTTTTACTTAAAAAAAACCATTGATATAGGCCTATGCATCTGAATTTTTGTTTATTTATTTTTAAGTGCACCAAATTAGCTCTATTTGATAACTTAGGTACTGAGGTTTGATAGGTTTGAACTGAATATATCAATCTACCTAATCTAGGAATATAAGGAAATAAAATAAAATCAATAATTTAAAAGTAATAAAGCTCTTTATTAAATAAATAAAACAACATTTAGACAAATATATAAAACCTTACAATTATATAGTGCCTACAATAATTTTCTAACTCTTGAGCATTGATTAAATGTAGTGGAACTGACTATAGAAATAAAGCTGCAAAATTGTCAAAAACACTCCACCTCTACCAAACCATCCTATCTAAAAATAGAAGGAAATAAAATCAATTATTAACAAAATAATAAAGCTCTTAATAAAATAACATACAGTAGGCTATAGATAAATATAACTCTTGAGCATTGATTGGATATGTTTAGTTATGCTTGTTAGTGTTAATAAGTGACTTGAAAAATTTGTCATTATATTAGTGGTGTTATTAGTTAGCTTCCTAGTATAAAGTTTTAATTGAATTTCAACTGCAGAACTGATTAACTAACACCAGAACATTATCCTTAGCTACAATAATAGTACTGTACTGTGAAACAAAGGTTAAACAATGATATAGGGGTACATTACAATGAGTTATAAGTTATAATTACACTGTATTAGAAAATATCACACATTAAGAACTATTTATGAGACTCATTGGGAGATCAAATGTTTTAAATTATGTTTTTAACATTCTTATCCATAATACAAAAGAGAATTGGAGTAAGCAATAAAAACGAACATTAGTTCCAATCCAACAATAACATAGATGCCTGGAAAAATAATAAGTTATTGTCAGTTATAATATCCATTTTGGAATTCTACAAACAGAGATTTTAAAGGTATGTTTCCATTTACATGTCCAATTAAAGCTTTTGAAAGGTACTAAAGCCATACACATTAGTTTAAATTACTTCTCTTAGAGAGTTAACTGCCCACCAGCGGTAAAAAGGAAATACTAAGAATATATTACAAGTATTTTGCTCAAGTGAAAATATGTAAAAAGCCATCTTTTATATAGCACCTGTTACGGAGTATGAAAAAGCAGAGCTGTGTCTAGTTTGATTCTGTGGATGAGGTACCATTGAATATTTCAACATCTTGACTGGCAATTTGTGGCGCAAAAGGAGCCAATCGGAGAGCTCTGTCAGGCAAGCCAAAGGCTGCTATGAATACGTTGAGTATTGTTATAAGAAATATCCCGATGAGTGTGAAGTTGTTTATTCTGTTGGCTCGGATGATATGATGTTCTTTGTTGATGTTGAATCTGCTGTTCCACAGCAACAGAATACCAACTGACACCTAAAAAAAATAAAAATATGTTAAACTTAGAACATGATCTAATGTATGAAAGTTATATGTGTTATCATAGTTAACTCTGTGAATAATATAGTTACAAAATTACTAAATCAATCTATTAACTTTAAAAGTTCCCGAGTGGTTATGGTGCTCGCCTAACAATCTAAAGGTCGCCAGTTCGATCCTGAGAAAAGTCAGTAGCTTTTTAATGGTTCAAAAATGGAACCAGTTGTTCCTGATGACTGGGCTTCAATTCAAATAAATGATAATCAAATCTAGAATTTCCTGTAGGCCTTCACCTACATCCAAACTAAAACACAAATTTGACTACCTGCAATAGAATGCTGACAGCAATGAATGTCAAACTGACGTAGTAGTAAGCATGGACTGGGCCTGCGTCTAGCACATACCGCAGCTGATTGGCATTAGCCGTCAGTAGTGCCAAATCCATCATACCTTGAGCTAAAGTCTTCTTCTGCTGATAAACATTGACATCTGGGAGGCCTTTTGGGGGAATCTGAAACACAAGTGTTTTTGCGTTGAAACAGTGGGGGATCCAGAGGGGAGGCGAAGGGGGCGACCACCCCCCTTCGGACATACATATATACATTTTGTTACTGCATGCAATACAGTACTGCATATACACATTGTGTAAAATAATTTGTCACACTAACTTTGGCCAAAGAAATGGTATAAAACTGCCATTTTGGAGACTTAGTTAACACACATTCTTCAAACCCCCCGGTTCCCCCTCCCCTTGTTACTGTTCTAGATCCGCCACTGCGTTGAAGTGATATGCACAGGAAGAGTTAATGTCTTATTGCCGTGAAATTGTTAGTATTGTTCTACCCAATTTTGTAATTTTGGTACTACAAAGGAATCTTCAACCTTGGGATCACAGTATCATGCCAAAGAATACTGATAATGCGGATGATCAGTATCCTCCGTCACCAACACCAGATAACTCTTCTGGCTTGTCCACTGTGCAATCGTTGACCTTTCGCCCACACACGGTTCAAAATGAGTCACTAGATCATTATTTTTACTTTTTAAAATCATGTAACCAATTTATTTTGCAAGTGTATTTTGTCAGAAGATGATACATTTCCTTTACTGCAAAAGAGTTTGTTGCTTGTTTGCCTTCTTTTGCTTCTCCGACTAATAAACTTTTTCACATTCCAGCCACCAGTGGTCAGGCACCTGACCCCAAGATATGAGACACTATGACACATTTACACAAAAAATAAATAGCCCAATACCCCTAATACCTAACACCTAATATTTTGAAATACTAACATGCACTGGGTCGACGGGGAGGGGAAATCCACCTTCTCTCCTAGGTATTGGGTCAACAGGGACTGGAAATGCACCTTCCCTTCTAGGTATTAAACCGTCGTCAACACCAGGGAACTCTTCTGGCTTGTTGTTACGCCTGCGAGGCAGCAGGTCATCTACCTCAGAAGCTCCAGAAGGTCTTGAGCTAGGGTCAAGGTCATCCATCTCAGGGCCACTTGTGGGCCTTTCAGGGGGAAGTAGTGCGTCATCTTCCACAAGTGCAAGAGGAGCACCTGAAAAATGTGGACTTAAAGGTAAATGAATTTCAAAAATATTTTACGAGGTCTATAATCATTTTTAAACTTCCTCTGGACACTACTCAGTAACAGAATTTTAAAAAATCTCTGATCAGGTATGAAACTTGCAAAGAATTTAGTTCAACTTCCTCTTAAAAGCTGTTTGCTATTTATCTATTTATTTAAGGTGTATGTTTACCACCAAATCACACATAGCAAAGGTAAAGTTCCCTTTGATTTTCATACCAAAATTGACAAACAATATAGGATTTGATTTCTCAAACCCCTGGCTGAAGAAAAATCACCTTTTGTCCTCTCTGTCGCTTATCAGACCACTCAACTACACCCACACCGTACTCTGAACGATGATGGTGAACCAACCACCCAAGACGTTATATTTAAGTTTGTAATCTTAATACAAAAATGTGTCATCCACCATCTTCGGATTATCTGATCAAGTCATCTAGTAGGCCTACTTATCGTTGTTAGTTGATGTTTTGATGATAGTACTGTAAAGAAACATCAACTCTAAGAAGGTTATATCAAGCCATGTAGTATTGTTAATATTATTATGATTGGAATATTTCAAAATTAAGTTAGGTACTTACCTGATTGTTTATATTGCTTCGTGTGTTAGTAGGCCTCAAAAAAATTAATAGAAACATGCTTTAGAGCTTATGAAGGTTAAGAACCAATCTCCAATATATCTTGCAACAAACCTTTGGTTATATTTATCGTTAGATTACTTGATTAGCTGGTGTTTCTTAGTTAAGCTGTGAATCAGTAAGTACATCTAGGTAAGTTCTTTGAGGCTTGATAACCAAATATAACCTGCATAGTTTCTCCTGGGAGCATCTAGATGTTTATTGGAATTATTTTTATTGCGTTCATCACGAGAAAGTAAATTGAGCGGCATCGTTTCAGACATCGTTTTTTTTCACTAAAAGAAGACTACAGTAAGTTTTGTAGACAGTATTATTTATTTGATTAGATTGAGGTTATTTTGATTTGAAACTGACAGTTCGTCGTTTGACACCATGACATGACAGTTCGATCGAATCGAAAGAGTCTGCTCTTGCTGCAATGTCTTGGATAGCGCTGGGTTCACAACGATATGGTAGGCATTCGGTTAAATATTGAGCTTGTTTTCTACCGGATGACAGAGATCGACTTTTAGTATCGGCATCGGCTCTGGCTCACCGCACCGGTTGTCTCATACTCATGGTGGAATAGTAAACTATTGCCTTGGTGCCTTCTGCTGCAGCTGCTCCTATACCGGTAGCTCCTATGTCTGTCGTCAAACGTCATAATGTGGCCTTGACGACGGAAGGCCATAATTTTATTCACAATATTACAGTGAGAGTTAATGCAAATAAATAAGTACAACATAATATCTGAACCTGGCATAAAATTTGCCAATGAAAATGTTTATTATCCAATTACAGTAAGGCTGATAACCAGCCTGATGAATATATAAGAACTTAAATTACGGAGGAATTTTAAAATTAATATTCCAGTAGCTTGCGCAATTAACGCCAGATAAATTACCACCCCCTTACTTTTAAAAGCGTTTAGATGACCTTTGCATATTTCCTCCATAATAATGCACTATGCACCATGAAACTGATCAAAAGGAACAATGTTGGAATAAATTAAATCAAATATTTTCCTCTCCTTTTTGGCTAGTGCTAGTAGTTTTTGTAATCTCTTGTCTTCTCTCTTCTGTCTGTCGGTGTTGGTTGGTTTGGTTTTTTTTAACAAAGTTTATTTACAATCTGTTTTACATTAAACAATCAATAATTAAATACGATGACATTTTTATTAATAAAATAAAAATTGGAAAACATGAGTTAGCAGCTAAACTGGTTTGTTTACGTTTTGGTTGGTTGGTTGGCGCTATGGAAGCCAATCGATTTACGATATTCGATAGTAGTTGTTTTCATACTACGACGATCGATACTTAACCGTATGCCTACCATATCGTTGTGAACCCAGCGCTATCCCAATGTCTTATGTTTTTCTTTTTATCTTCTAATTGCCGATTGGCTCTTGGCTGGCTTAGTCTTGGTTTACCATGAAGCCAATATCACAACTAATTAATTTATTAGATTTCAGGAGCTCTTTTGCCGTGGTAGTTCATTTTGATATGTTATGATTTGGTTATGACTCATAGTACCCCTTACCCCCGAAATACGGATTCAATTTACATATTTTCGTAATGTTACTGTTTAATTTTACATTTTTGAAATAGTGTGAAATGGAATTGGTTTAGATTACTTCTTAAAATAATCGATAAATGTACGATATTTACAACCATTATTTTTACATATCTTGATCCCTTTGTCCCGAATACAGCCTCAAAATTGAAATTTGTACAGTCTTTTGGGGTTCCAGCTGTACCAGAGTTAGTAGGCCTAGTTAATGTAGTTTATGAAAGTTTTCCAGGATCTTGAATGGATGTGTTTTAGAATAGACTATAACCACAGTATGTTTTATTTGCGGTTTTAGTCTGTTATTTTTATTCGCTTACAATTTTATGTCTGTCCAGTGTCCTCCATTCGTTGTCACAAGCACAAGTGGCAACATCGCAAGTTGGATTGTAACGTATCTGTTTTGTTTGGAGGCAGCTAATGGTATCTGTGTATGTTTTAAGAATACGAAAGCTTGGTTACTGGTCAATGAAAATATTGAATTCTACTTTAAATGTACAAAAATAGATTTTTAATTGAAATATTGTTTTGGTTTTCAATTCTATATGATTTTTTTCAATCTTTTAATAAATTTATATTTTAATGAATAATATGTGAATTAATGAGCTGACATCACCTGTCTGCCATGTTATCTTATGGGACGTCTGGCGCTAGACAACACTACTTTGTAACGTTGCCAATTCTCAGGCCGCGGCCTGGAGTTAGGTAGCCGTGCCTTTTTTTAGTGCTTATCCACTTTCATTCCTTAAACTTTGCGATGAATAAATCGTAAGTGATAATCTCTAGCTAATCTCATATACTGTTAACCCATCTGTTAACCGTAATGATATCTTAAAATACGTTTAACTTTTTCAGACCAACTTACTTAGACCTACACGCACATAATACATGGATAGGTTTCGTCCTTACTGTCTGATTTATTTATTTATTTCCATTCAAGCGGCCAAAGAACATTACAAAAATGATAGGCAATAATTATTACAATCTTATACTAATAAATAAATATGCAGAGAGATACAATTCAATAAATAAATATTTAACAGAAGAAAATGTATGATAAATAACAGATAAATATATAAATAAACATTTTAAGAGTTTAACAAGAGAAGAGAACAAGAAACACCACTCAGTTTACATGCGCATTGATTAATAAATATTCTAACCTATCTACATAACAAAATATAACAACAGATCTTGTAAACGGGTTCTAGAGAAGGCACACGGAGGTCCACTTGGGCAAGTAAAGCGGGGCAGTCAATTTGGCCATTGAGAAGTTTGTGAAGGAAAACAACGTCTGCCATACAGCGTCTCAAGTGAAGATCTAGCAGGTTTAAACTTTTTGGAAGATGGCCACTGGGACTTCACGTTACTGCATGTCTAGACGGACACCGATAAATCTGATGTAATTTTCTGGATACCTCCGAGTTTGTTGATGGGCCCTAAGGTGGAAGGGTGACCAAACTGGGCTGGCATACTCCAACAGCTGTTGAAAAAGGGAGCAATACATAGTCTTGAGAGCGATGAAATTTGTTAGTCCACGGGTAGCCCGAAATAGGAAGCTCAGCAGCTGGTTGGTTCCTTTACATATGTAATCCACATGCTCGTCGAAGGAGAAGTCTGATGAGAAAATCACTCCCAAGCTTTTTACCATTGAGACTCTCTTCAGAGGTTAGTTCATGATGGAATACTCTGCCATATGGAGCACTAATCTTACTGAAAGTCATACTGGAGCACTGAAACACGTTCAGGATAATGTAAGAAACGCACCAATCGTGGATAGCGGTTAGGCTAGCTTGTAGACTTGTAGACTTGCTTATTGTACTACTGATGTATAAATGTATAGCCAAAATTGTTTATTATATTAAGGAGATGATGCTGCTTATTTAAAATAGACTACAATAGTGACTTACAGACGTTAGATTGTTTATTATCTAACCGTTAGATAATAAACAAATGAAGTAAGAGACACGATATGTAATATGATGGAACAAGCCTGGGGGAAACTGCATTAAAGAGCCTTTGATAGCAGAAGGCAGTCATCTAAACGAACCTGCAATAAAAGCTGATTTAGCTTGTAGAAGCGTATGGGAGACTCAGATGGAGGCATTGTTTGATGTTCGTGTCGTTGACACTGATGCTCCGTCTTATGTCTCCATCCATCATCAACGAGTTATAAAAAATACCCCCGCCGCAGCAAACCTGCAGACTAAGCGAATTTCCATTTGCCTGATTTGATTTTCAATTAAATCTATTCAAATAACATTAGGTATAACGAGCACCTAGGTTTGCTGCCTACAGTGTAATAAAGTGTGTTAAAAAAAACACATATTTTATAGTAAAATATTAATAGCTTAGTATAAAATAAATAGATTGGACAAGTTTGATCCAAATATATGCATAAACAAGCAATCTACAACAGTTTACTTATTCTCCATAAGAATAACATGGGAATTTTAAATTTACAATTTTCTCCGTAACCAATAACCATACAAAACCCCCGCCGCAGCAAACCTGCAGACTAAGTGAATTTCCATTTGACTGATTGGATTTACACTGAAATATCTACTTAAAAATATAACATTTATTCCCTATTTAAATAGAATTAGTTTAACAAGTACTTAGGTTTGCTGCATCAGGGAGGGTAAAACTGTTTTTTTTTTGTAAAATGTTAATAGTTAGTAAGAAATAAAAACATTTTCCAAATTTGATCAAAATAAGTTCATAAACAAGCAAACTACAACAATTTACTTATTCTCCATAAGAATAACATGGGAATTTTAAATTTACAATTTTTTGGAATTTTCTCCGTAACCATTAGGCGCATAATAACGCTTCAATGTACTAAATTATTTGTTTTTTTAAGCTCTACAAAATGGTTTGGAAAGAAATTGCTAAATTTTATGTTTTTTGGGTCAAAAATGGGAAAAACCTATTTTTACCCCATAAAATCCCCCGTAAACCCCCGTTCCCATGGTCCGATCATGCTGGATCGCAAACTCGTTCGAATAAACATAGGTTTACACGTTTGTACCAAATTTCATCAAAATCGGATCATTTTTGCTCGAGTTATCGTGCTGACGGACACATATATATATATATATATATAAATATATATATATATATATATGAATTTGAACGGATGGTGTTTTTGGCCTCTAGGGACCTCAAAACGAAAAAAAAATCGGTCCCGCGTCCAGGTCTTACCATGAGTACTACGGTAATAGCTTATTCCCTATATGGGAAATTCGCTAAAAAGCAGAAGATGAAAAAATGAAAGTATACAAAAGCTTGCGAACAACGACATGCACCACCATATAACCATTTGACATTCCTCTTGCCTGTCACAAGTGTTGATGGAATTTTTGGGAATGAATTCCAAATGTTTTTAAGGGTTATGGACGAAAAAATGTTCAGAAAAATTGAAAAAAAAAACATTTTAAGTTTGGTAATTAATTGGATACGATCAAGAAACATTTTTGCAGTTTTAAGGACAACCTGAATGTTTCGGACGAACTAAAGAGAAATGGTAGTCAGCGAGGGAATTTGAAGATGGAGTGGGGATTCCACATTTTTTCAGTGTTCAAATTAATTTTTGAATTCTTATTGTACCCTACTCTTTTTTGTGAAATTCACATTGTAATAAATTCCCATGCTATCCTCTTTAAACAAATAGAACACACTGATGTCTGTTGTCTATACAGTATTATACATAATAGTCTGTGAGGATCGAGGAATCCAGAATGTGTTGTAATAAAATAGATTTGTTGGTCTTTGCAATGCAAAAGAACCCTTTTTTGCGTTCGCGTCAACTACCACAATTCCTTTCCCATATGTTACTCACGTCGTCACTCACTCTTCTCGTCATCGTCATAAAGGAGGCAAACCGAACCAGAACCCGACAAGATGAAAACTGGAGGGAAACGAAAAAGTGCTCATATTCCAGCCAAAAATTCTGAAGATTGCGAATTGGATATGTCTCCAGGAAGGTAATTTTGCTTCATTGTGTATCAACCCTTCATTGTTCAATATTAAATAAATAAATATCGTTAAATTTTTGTAAAAAATAATTATAAAATGCATTTTAGACTTAGCCCGCCAATATTTTGCCAACTAGGCTTTGCCCTCTATTTTTAGAAATGCTGAATATTTATAATTATTTTCTCGCACCATTCTATTTTACTGTAATCCCTCATCATATTAAAAATCAAATTACACTCATATCATACCCTGCATCATTGTATTATTTCAGTTTCATTACTTTTATTGGAAGGAAAAAATACTTATGCATCCCTATTTCAATTCTGTAAGCCAAAATATCTTCTATCTACGTCTGATAAATAGATTTTATATTAATTGAAATTTATAATTGAATCATATTTTACCATTTTGGGCAGTGAATATTTTTGTTCCTGACCTAACCATCAGAAAAAGGAAAATTGTGTACTGAAAATGAAGAGGTTAGATAGCTTCAGGCAATGGTGAATCTAGGCTAGGATTAGGCTTTTGAGGGGTCTTGCTAGGATATAATATTTTTTTGATTGTTGGCAGGTTTCTCCTTTATTTTTAGGGTTACGTAAGAGCGACCTGGAACACCTGGCCTAGAACTTTTTAGTTAAAATCATAAATTTTTAAAATGAAAATCGAAGCCTATATTTCAATTGCCTCGATTCTGTTAAATAGTATAGTAATTAATATTTTACATTAGACTCTCAATTGTATTCCATTCTGGTTGTATTCAATTTCTTTCCTATGAGGATTTACCTTTTTCCCAACCTTTACCTGATTAGAAATGATAACCCAATGACTAATAAGTTAGTATCTGATCTAGAATCAATCACGTCGAAGCAGCTGTTTTCAGATTTGAAGACGAATTCAGATTTCAGATTTATCACTCTATTACCCAGAATGAATCTCCATATAAAAAAATACTATCCCTGGGAAAACTGGCCTGGTGATAATTTAATTTTGTAGATTGACTGATTGAGTAGATACAACGTGAAACACTATGCTGGTTTTTAGCCATAAATTTCCCAGTGAACTTCTGAGTTGTGCCAATGAAATGCCTGTAATAAGTTAATTAATTTATATAAAACTTGCCGTATTGTAGACAATTTTGCATAATTGATAATGGGGAGTTTCATTGCTCTCTAGTGCATTCTAGTACTGCATCACAAGTTGGTTTATCAGTGAGTTGAAAAGTATCATTAGATTGTATCAATAAAATACGGCTGCATCGGTGGAATACTATGTGATGCATGCCACTGCTTAGCCGTTCTACCAACTATCGTTAGACTACAGCAAAACCGGATTGGCCAATAGTCAGTATTTTTGGGAGCCTACTGAAGGCAAGAGTGAGATTAGTAAAAAATGGTAGTTTAGAAAAATTGTTCCTGCTTATGCGTTTTGTTGAAAAGAAGATTAACTTAAAGTGAAGGAGGACAACTTATATATGTCAGAGTGTCTACCGGTCACATAAACCACGGAAGTCAAAAAAAATTAATGATTTTGCTAGGGAGTACGGAAAAGTTACAGATTTTCTTTTTAAGGTCCCAAAAGACATCCATTAAAATTTTGTCATTGGTTTTTTTCAATTTTGAAAACAGGCTCCCCAAGATATTTCAAATTCGATTTTAAATTTGTGTCTCAGGGTAGTTCACGAATGTCTCGTTATTCTTCGATCACATTGCGTATACCTCATCATGTGACCACGGCTTATGGCAGGGCTTTTGTTGTTACCGCTTGTCGTCTGTGGAACGGCCTACCCCTGCACATTAAGACACTTGAAAAACGTTCCCAGTTTGTGGCGGCTCTGAAAAAAGCTCTATTTTGAGAAGATGGTCTCGGCTGGCGTGTCCTAGGGCTACCGTTGCTTTGCGCGATTGCTGATGCATGTATGCGAGAGTGTGTAAATGTGTTTTTCTATTTGCTAAATTTGTATGTTTTTTCTTATGTAGGTACTTAAATTGTTGAATATTTTATGTTTAATTAGATTAAGTTATCCCAATGTAATATTATTTTTGTTATATTTTGAATGTCAGGTTAAGTGTAAGAAAGGGCCATGTGGCCCTAACTTTGCCTGAAAAAATAAACAATTTTTCATTTCATTTCAAAGACACTGAAAAAAATCGGGCCTTACCAAAATGAAGTTCCTCAGACCTAAGCTATCTTTTGTTTTGCAAAGTGCAGAACATTTTTTAATTCATAATGCAGAATTAGTGTGAGCGAAGTAGTTGTACTCTCGCATAGTAACCACATTGAAGCAGGCAACGTCTCCCCCCCCCCCCCAAAAAGTCATTGAAAATCACTGAAATTTAGTTTGATTAAATGGTAGACACCCTGATACCTGATATGTGCACGAGTTAATGGTTCAGGAATTTCATTTATAGAAGGGCAGAAAAATGTCTGGCAAAAAAATTTGTTGCGTTTAGACCAATTAAATGTTAAAATAGTCTCATAAATTTCTGTAAAGTCTTTATTTAAAATGTCAATGAATATACACCGATTTATAGAACCCCAAATTACTTGCAATCATCTAGAAGTGATGAGAGGAAAGCGGGTGATATCTTTCTCTCATCAGACAACAGCTTAAGCCTACAACTGTGTCTATTTGTTGTTAAGTTTGTAATATAGGCTATTTAATATTTTATTAAGTATACAGGGTGAGGTTTTAAATGAGTTCCCCCCTACTTTTTTGTACATTTCTTAAGATAACTCCGGACCACGTCAGATGATTGTAGAGTAGTACCAAGTACTTAATTTTGACTAGGTATAAATTTGTGGAAACCCCATAAAGAGTTCCGTTATTGTGAATTTTCAAGTTTTACGGACTTCAGCATCGACTTTTTCGACAAGTTCAGGAGTCACAATGCTGGGTCTTCCACTTCGCCCTTCGGGAACGTTAGTTCGGCAAGTTTTAAATTTTATGACTCACTGACGCACTTCACCTTCAGTAATAATGTTTTTCCCATAAACTTCACAAAGTTGCCTATTGATCTTTTGCAGTCAAAAACCTTATAATTGCACGCACTTCACAGTTCGCGGCATTTTCAATTAACACAGACATTTTAAACTGACACAGTAACTCAATGGAGTACAGCAGATACCTGTCACTAGCACAGCTGATTTACTTGAATTTGGAAATTGGAAGAAATTGCTTTTTAAAAGGGCAATTACAGGAAAAAATGTATAGTTTTCCCATAGACTAACCAACCAACAGTGGACTCATCCCATTGTAAATTTTGAAGCTAGTTTTTTGTGTCTAGTTCATGTCCGGTGACACTAGGTGGTAGTGTTGATGAAATTTTGTTTCTATTATTTTAGGGTTAATTTCATGTTTGTGCTTTACTTTTTGGACCAGTTTAAATGACATTGGTTTAAATTTGAAAACAAAGAAACTAGATTAGCTTATTGGTCAAAATTCTAAATTATCCATTGAAAATTAACAAATTAATGGAAAATTGGAGGACCACTCCAACATAGAAATAATTCAAAGATTTCAATCCAAAAGAATGAAATATTTTAAACACCCTGATGTGTTTTAAATAAGGTTATCTATAAAGACACAAAAATTCTTTTTATCAGGAAAGAAATAAAAACACAAAGTGAAATATATCAATTAAAATGGACACCCCTTTCTTGATATTTTAATATTAAAGTTTGCATAGTGTTATATATAGGCCATATAGGGTCCGTATAGGCTTCTGCACAGCTAAGTTTCAAGAATACGTCATGGCCGCTTTTGGCGATGCTCTCCAAGTTGACTGTGTTTACCTTGATCTCTCCAAAGCCTTTGACAAGGTCAATCACAACATCCTTGTGGCAAAGCTTGCCGGATATGGTGTGGGGGGGGCCCTGCTTGAGTGGTTAAACAGCTACTTGACCAACAGAACCCTTGTAGTCAAGTACGACGGGTGCCTTTCTACGCCATTCAGTGTCCTATCTGGAGTCCCGCAAGGGTCCCACCTCGGTCCCTTGCTGTTTAACCTGTTCATGAATGACATTGGCAACGTCATCCTCACCAAATTTCTCATGTTCGCCGATGATATTAAGGTGTTTGGCTCGGTGACATTGGCTTCTGACTTTGAGCGCCTCCAACTTTCTCTCACTAACATCGACGCCTGGTGCAAGGAAAACTTCATGGAGCTCAACGTCTTGAAATGTGTCGTCATCTCCTACAAACGTGGTGCAGCCCCACTCCAATATGACTACGTCCTCAATGGTTCTACACTGAAGAGAGTGGACAGGGTACGAGATCTCGGAGTGACAATGACCCCTTCGCTCAACCCTCACGAGCACATTGCCCACATTACAACCAAAGCTAGCTCCCTGCTTGGTTTCATATTCAGATCAACAAGGAATTTCAACTCACCCTTCACCTTGATCACGCTCTACAAGTCCCTGGTACGCCCGCTGCTGGAGTATGGGTCAATCATCTGGTCTCCCTTCCAGAAGAACCACGTCAGCCAACTGGAGAGCATACAAACCCGCTTCATACGGATGCTTGGACCGAGACTTGGTTTTACCTACCGCACTACCCCGGTTGACGATGTGGAGAAGTCCTTCGATCTTCTGCCTTTGTCACTCCGACGTCATCATGCCGACATATTCATGCTCTACAAGCTGGTAAACGGGTTTGTCGATTGCCCCAACATCCTGAGTGGTATCGACATTACCACGCCCAGAGGCACCCGCTCCAGGACTATATTCAGCAGACGCTTTCTCCCAGCCTACTACTCTTACAACAGCGGAATTAGCCGTCTACTCAAGGCTGGTAGCACGGCGGCTGCTCAACTGGATTTCTTCGGTGAGAAGCCCCTCCAGTTCAAAAAGAAGGTCTCCCTGATCACTTGAGCAACCACACTCCAGCACATCTGCACATTTGTCTTCTCATCGTTGAAACTTGCTGTTCATATTCTTTGTTGATACTCTTTTTAGTTTATTCTTCTGTTATTAATATTTGTTATTACTTTGTTATTACTATTGTTATCACTATTTGTTATTACTATTGTTATCACTATTTGTTATTACTTGCTATTACTATTTACTATCACTTTGTTATTACCATTGTTATTACTTTTCTAGTTAGTAATATTGCAAATGCCATCTAAATTGTAACACACATTTTGTAAAAAGGTGCAATCCGTTGGGAAATAAATAAATAAATAAATAAATAAATAAATAAATTAGAAAACTATCAGAATTTCATGGCAGTAAACCTTCCTATACCAGCTTCCAGACTTAAATAAGAACAGATATTTTTTATTGGGCAAAAGCACACCAAGTTGTATGTAGGTATATAAATTATCAGCAAAGTCATAATGAGAATTATTTCATTGCCTTTTTTGTACTATCTTTTTAACTATTTTAATATATTGTTTCTTTCATTCGGGATAGAACAATTAACACTTATAGGTTGTGGAAACCCAACAATAATTTATAATAATTATACAGTAGGTAGGCCTACTAAAATCATTGGCAACTAATGTATGTATGTGACTTGGTAGCTAATGTTGATCGATCCATGTGATTTGAATTTAATTAAAAACATTATTTGTTTGTATTATTGTTTACAGTACATATAATTTTTCACTGATTATTTTGGTTAAAGCTAAGTTAGGGTTGTCTAGAAAGTTAAAAACATTTCACTGAAATCTGGCATGAAGAGGTAATAGAATATTAAATTGACTTGATATTTTAATATTAAAGTTTGCATAGTGTTATATATAGGCCATATAGGGTCCGTATAGGCTTCTGCACAGCTAAAATAGATTTCTGTAAACATTATCTCACGGGACCTCAATGTTGTCTACAGCCTCCAAACTCCCTTCGTCACTTAAGCCGACACTCTTATTTTCTACCCCCAAATATCTCTTTTCACCCACTTTTTCTCCACAAACGTCTGTCAATTGGCTATATGCATTTCACTACGGGTTGATTCCTTTACCCTTGATAGGGGACTTCACAGAGTTTTCTCCAGGCACTTTGTGGTTTAGGTAATACGTTTTTTTTTTCGTTATTTAGCAATCATAGAAATCACAGTCTTTACACAAGTCTTCCTAGGAACCAATTTGACCTCATTTTACTCATCAAAATCCTTCCTTACTATATCTTTCTTACACTTAGATAGAATGTTAAGGATCGCATTAAGGCACATTTTATACTCTTGCACACTGCAAAAAACAGCATAACAACAAAGACTGTTTTAAAAATATATATGTACGGTATTACTATAATATTAACGGTAAAAATTTTTCCTATTACTATTATCAAAAACGAGCTAACTTATTGTGTTATATTAAGCCAGAGTCTTGGGATTTAGTGCGATGCTCCACCCAGAAAGTATTATTTGAATTGAAGTATTTTACTGGTTTTAATCCTCCCATCACTACAGTAACTGCAAATCCCTTATAGCAGTCAATACAATCCCTTAAATTAGTAGCCATTATGCCCCCACTGCTTCCACGGCCGCCGCACAAACTTACGAGGCGCCATATAGTATAAAAGGGGCCTATAACGCAGGCACAACCAACTACTCTTGTGCCCTGAGTTGCCGGAGTTTAATCCGCGTGTCACCTCTTGTGTTTTGTTTTCTGTCATTATGTTCATACTTTTTAGTCTTACTAGTTTAATTCGTATTCATCTGATGAAACTGTATTTGAATACTGTATTATAACTAACTGTTAGTCAGTGTCTGTTATTATTGTTACTGTTTAGGTTTTCAGGCCTAATTACCTGGAAGAAAAACTCTGTGAGACGTCTCTTGTGTTTGAAAATCAAAGTCGCCCATGGAGTATTAAACAATAAAATTGTAATCACAAAACACAATCCATATCATATGTTTATTTTTTTCCTTCCATTGTTTACAGGTATAACAATACTAAGCGTTGCATTAAGGTGGTGGATCAGATAGAAAGTGGCGAAGAAAGTAAAAAACATTGCTACTGTTGGATTTTAACTAACTTGCTGCTTCAAGACAGATGCTCGTTGTGAGACCTTAATTGACAAATAATCCTCGTAATGCTGGAAATTGTTTCAGGAAACGTTCAAAACTAGAAAACAACAATACTTACAAGAAATCAGATGAGATTTCTGTAATGTACGTGAAACACTTGGATGAAATGGGAGTTCAGGAACTTCCGAGCAGTGATAACGAGGGAACCAGTGATGGAGAAGAGGTTACATCACTTGTCTCTAAGGTAAATGAATAAAGAAAATATATATTAGCCTAGATTGCTTTCTTTTATAAACATTCAAACTATTACCCCCTAACCCACTGGTTTTTGTTAAGAATTTAGTTTCCTACTCCATTTCATCGCCGTTAAACTTAACATTATTTACTTAGGTACTTTACCATAGCCATTTATACCCTATAACGTATTTTCACCAACAGTGGCAGCGCTAGGTTCCCCATAGCAAATTCTGTTTGGGGTTCTTATTTAAGCTATGTTTATAGAAATCATAAGTCTGAAAAAATCTAAGTGAATTTCATAAGAAAACAATTTTTTTTATCGACTTTGTAGTTCATGACATAAAAGTTAAACATAAAATTTGTTTACGTCTTCTGATCTTCTTACCTCCTCTTAGTCGGGAGACCCATCACTTGAGTCTTGTTAGTTTTTCAAATGTGTTTGACTTGAACATTCAAAGTGTGTGTTCATAATGTGATATCTTGTATAAAGCTGCATATTAACAAGTAAACGGGCAAACTATTCTTTAGTTAATTCCAAATAAAATGTAAGTGGCTGATAATAACTTATGAATGTGTCAAACCCTGTATATTTTATTGGACTCAGTTTTTGACACTGCAGTCTGGAGTTGTTGAGTAAGTTTAATGACAGGTGAGTGAAAATTTAAAAACGTACGTTTTCATGTCCCTGGCCTTTTACTTCGTAGATACTGGATTTGTAGTTTATTATTATGTGTTTTAATATTTTTTGGGACGGGGGCAACATGTTACACACATTTATTTAGTTTTAAATAGGTTCAAGGTATTTTTTTCGTATTTTTAAAGTCTCGAAATTCACGACCATGACGTGTCCCTAGGGTACATTTTCCAACTTTCACGCTGTTTTTAGACTAATTATTCATGCCGAAATATATAAAGTCATATTTTTATGTTATCAATGGTTATTAAACTTACAAAAAAGGAGTATATTATAATTTTATTGTCATTGCAGACTGACTACCATGACAAAATAAGTCTGTCCCTCGATTTGGCGTCACGACCATTTGGGAAAATTTTTCAACTTTGGAGCACGACAGTGGCAAGCCTGGCGTCGATGGAGTCAGTTGGTTTTAGAGACTAGTTCGGGGTGTACGTCAGGATTGTAGTGCCGGTCGTTTTGAGTTGAAAGGAGGAATTACAAGATTAATAAAGGAAAGATTGTGTTTTTTGTAATTTTGGTGTGTCCATGACCGTACGTAGTCATTCGATGAAGTAGACATGGTGTTAATTTTTGTTTATAAGATATTTCAATTGCTAGATCAACCTAGAAGTCCACTTTGTATCCTCGAACATGAGGTGCAGGGCTACCGCCAGAACAGAGCCAAATAACACGTAATTTCACGACCAAAGTTTCACGACCATCGCGGTTTTTTTCACGACCAATCCAGCCTTATGGATTATAGTGAGTTTGGTCGTGACAATAACTTTAATATAATTGTAAATTGAACAGTTTAGTTCAATTGAAACACATAGTTTTATTATAACTAACAGTATAATTGAAGGATTGTTTGGAAAGATTTAGATTATTCCAGACAATTCACGACCGTACCGCTTGTCCCTGACCATCACGTTTATGATTTCTATCATAAAAATTTCAAAAATTAAAATATCGTCATATTTCAATGTTTTATACACAAAAGAAGCACACTTCTATACAAACATAACGATTTTTCGGGTCTCAGGTAAGTTTTTTCGGAGTTATACAAACTTAAAAAGATTTTATTGGCTTTTTTCTATTTTTTGAGTTTTTTAAATTTTTTTCTAGAAAGACCAAATATACCAAAAGCTCAGTGACCTTTTTATTGTATAATGGTCATAAAAGTAAATTAGTTTATAGCAAAACATAGTTATAAAAATAATATTAACTATTTTTAATATTCATTTAAACGTCCGTTATGGTCGTGACAGGATTTTGTGTTTTTCTACTAAAGATGCTCTTTAAAAAGAAAACTACCAAAGATATTGCGTTACCATGGACATTTTATGAAACTTAAAATGTTAATGAAATAAAAATAATAATAAAAGTTTTGAAAAAAGGGGAAAAAAATTTGCAAAGTGCTTTTCCTGAAAACGTACGTTTTTAAATTTTCACTCAGGTGTCAAAAGCTTTTAACTACTTTTAAATTTTAAAACGCATTAAATGTTTTGGTTTGTAGTTGTTCTCTAAAACATTATTTTCTCTTGACAAAGGTTTCTTCAGATAAGTCTGATGAATCATCCATGGACTCCCTTGTACATAAGTCTCCGTTGAGGGACCTAAAACATTCAGAAACCATCATGGTCACTCCACCGGACCAAATTCGATCGTTCCGAGTGAGACGATCTGTTCAAAACACATGTAAACTTGGTAAGTATTTTATGGGACTGATATGAATTGCTAGCTGAAATATTTTGTCATGCAAGCATTGAGTTTTCAATTCGTTAGGTGTGGTGGTAGATTTGTTCACTTTTTTATTTTGTCTTTGAATCAGGTTGTTGCTGCAACTTAAAGTGTAGCCTTAAAACCATTTAAAAATAATAATAATTTCAAATGAAAAATAATTTTAAAAATTTCATGCTATTTAGTTGAAGCAGTTCTCTAAAACGGACAATTAATTCTTACTTCTGGTCTATTTTTGTCAATACAGTAGACACTAAAACTTGAGGTGGGCTTAAAACCAGCATTACGTTTCCATCTTTGTATCATTGGTTGACAAGTAAAAATGGCGGTTTTAATAGTGTGCTCACACCAACTCATTGTTGCAGATCTCTTTGGCATGTTGTCTGATGAGATTGTGCTGATGATCATGCAATGGTTGCCTCGTCAGAGTCTGAGTGACTGTGCGCTCGTGTGTCAGCGCTGGCGACGTATTGTCTACGATGAGTCACTTTGGCAACGCATCGACTTGACATGCATGTCACTAAAGACAGACCATATGGGATATGTGCTGCAACGAAACCCCGTCATACTGCGCATGGCCCAGGCTGAGGTAAAGGAGAGTCCAAATTTGATAAAAGATAAAATTATTCTTTCAGTTTAAATTTGCTTGTGTGAAGCTTAAGTTTTAGTTGTGCCACCTTACTTACTTGTACTTCAGTATTTGCCATTCAGAAATTAATTCTGTTCACCTAAAGATTTATTGCCAATAATCAAATCATGGTAAACAGTCAATGGTGAAGGGATGAACGCTATTGAAGAAAAGTTTTTTATTATTTAAGAAATATTTGCAATAACTTATTTCTGTGGTAATAGCACTCAGTTTACATTGGTGGAAATATAAATTAACCAACACATCTACCATTGATTATCATGCGGTTAGGACCATTGTGCAATTGTTTAAGGTTTAAGTAGTTTGTTAAGGAGTTTTGGGACCCACATCATATTTTTCTGGTAAACTGACAGTACCAATAACATTATTTTGTCAAAAAATCAGAATTTGATGAACAAATTTCCCTTAACAGGGACCATAACATTTATAATAGTTAGTTACTAACTATACACTGATATACATTGATTACATTTTTTTTAGGTGGCAGAGCCCATGTTGTGGGAATTGGCTCCTGCTATGGAGAACTTTTTCTGTGACCTTCAGTATTTGGATCTCAGCATGGCTCTAATCAAGGCCAATGGTAAGATTGGGCAAAATTAGTTGTTAACATATATATGTAAGACTCATCTAAATTTAGCAGTTAGTAGGCTATGAATTTCGTTGGTAAAGTTAATCATAACAGTTGCTAGCCTATAGCTCACAATAAGTCATTCCATTAATTTTACTTGTCAAAAAAGTATTCAACAGAAATTTGCAATTTAGATCAACATAATCAGCCGGTGGCTCACATCAACTATGATTTTGATTAAAATACTGGTGACAACTGTAACATGGAGATGAAATTACTAGTTGTATAAATAGCCAACGCTGATTTCGACCTTTGGTTACGTAACCCATTAACTTAATCATTAATTAACATCTGGATCCTGAAAGTATCTCGTTTGTAAAACCTTGTAAAGTGTAAACCCAAACTCCATCTGCACTAGCACATGTCTATTACTTCTTTCAGCCGTTTTAGTTGGGTCATGCTTGTATAAGTAAACTAGAAGGCTTAGTTAAATTACATTACTCTTGTTGGTCGGTATTTCGATCTCTAGAACATCTAGGTAATTTACACTTGTTGCGCAGACCTGGCACATCTGCTCGGCATGTGTACAAGACTGAAGAAGCTGAGCGTAGAGCATTGTGACACAGACGCAGCTGTTTGTGCTAGCATTGCTGCCAACACGGAACTGGAGGTGCTCAACATGTCTCAGTGTTACCAACTCGATGCCGCCGGTCTGGAGGAGATACTAATCTGCTGTAGCGAGTAAGGAACTTGATTGATAACACTTATTTTTGTCTAATTGTAGTGACAAAGTCAGTTTCAATACATTCATTGTGGGACTTAAGTAGTTGTTTAGAGTACAAAAACATCAGATAGAGTTAAGAGGAACATCAGCTGTGCTGTATGTTTTTCTTATTTTTAAATTTGTTCTACTTATTTTTGTCCAGAAAATAGTTCCAGTTTGTCAATTTTATTTTATTGTTTACAACCCCTTATCCTTTTATTACACTCGGGGTGTATATCAACCAGGAGAACCGGGTAAAAACCTTGCATATGAAGGGACCTGGAAAATGCCGGGGAGAATCCGAGATTTTGGAGCGATTCTGGGATTTTTATTTCAGCTCTGTAGAAGATTGCAATTTTAAAACGCGTCTGCAAAGTTCGTGCGATAGAAAAATACACACATTTGCCGCAGTCGTGGAAGACTGTGATGAAGTTTCCGTGACCGTGGGAGACAATGTTAATATCTGCAAACCGCGGAAGATGACCAGGATTTTCCCGCGATTGCGGAAAACTATGATGACGTTTCTGTGACAGCGGGAGATGACGATAATGTCTACATACTGTGGGAGATGCCCCGGATTTCGCCACGATTGCGGATGACAATAATAATTTTTCCATGACCTTGAGAGACGACGATAATGTCTGCAAACTGCAGGAGACGTACAGGAATCTTCCACGATTGCAGAAGACCGTGATGACATTTCCATGACTGCGGGAGATGACGATAATGTCTACATACCGCAGGAGATAGACAGGATTTTTATGCGATTACAAAAGACTTTAAAGACGTTTACGCCAACGTGGGAGTTGACCACTCGACCAAGGGAGATATTCAGGATTTGGCCGCCGTTGAAATGATTACTATAATAAGGATTATTATGTTTTCAACACTAGCTCACTGAACTTTGGAACAATTCAAAATATACAAATATGATGTACATTGATGTATACTTAATTCTTAAATTGGCTGTAGCTTAGGTGGAACTAAACATTCACTGGGATTTAATATAATGTTCACGTAAGAAACATTACGTATGAACCTGAAAAAACTTTGTAAACCAGGAAAAAACCTAGAATTTCGCTAACAAAATAGTATACCCCCTGTACAGTTATCCCTAGGTTATCCCCTGACTGGTTAGAATAAATTTAAAGGTATTGGCAAACAACATTAATGCTCAATGTTCACCACTATGCCTAATTAAAAGTAGAGAACCCTATATGGAGAATACACGAGTGTCAATCCTCAACAGATTAGTCTGACAACTGTTGTAGGATTGGAATTGATATAATACATTTGTATTTAGTAAAATACATTTTCAGAAGCAGAGTCTCTAATTGTATTGTTTCTGTCGCTTTGCAACCTAAATGAACTGTTGATAATGAAGTCGTAATTGTTTGCCAGATTAGTAGAACTCAATCTCGCCTGGACCAGACTGAACAGCGAGTGCATCGACATTGTGTGTAAACTAGTCAACGAGAACGTGCTGAAGCTCAACCTCAGCGGGTGCCTCAAATCTCTCAGGAACTCACGTAAGTAACAAGAGTCAGGATTTGGAAAGGGAAGAAAAATTTGGTTTTGTCGGTTACATTGGAACCCAACAATTTGTGTGCGGTTTTGAATATAATCGTGGATATCATGATTACCTCAAGATAGGGACATAAGTGGAGTGTACTTATTTTGAGTCATTATGATTTTTTTGTGATGTATATTATGATTTACTAGTTTTTCAATAAAACTAGTAAAACCCAGTTTTAATTCAGATGTTCCAATTGATGGTTTAGATGTGAAGGAGCTTGTTTCCCGTTGCACCTGCCTGACGGAGCTCGATCTCAGTGATTGCACCGAAATAACGGAAAACTGTGTTGATGAAATCATGAAACACCTGTGCGATATTGAGGAGCTTTCCTTCAGCCGCTGCTACAATATTTTGCCCACAAAGTACATGTAAGTATTTGTGTTCTTCCATGATTATAAAATTATGAACTGGTCAGAAAACTCTCTTTGTATTCATTTTTAAGCTAAGGTACACTGGTGGTTCAGAATACGTTCAATCAATGAAAACGCTAGGATTGCAAGAAAAACTTGTTATGTTACTACAACTAGTCAACATTTTAAATGCATGTGTCTAACAATTAAGTCATTTTTAAATACCTCTGGTCCAAATTTGGTCTTTACCTAAAACAATGCCTTAGGATAATTTGGATGATCCCCACAATATCATATAGCTAAGAAAAATTTGAATCCTTAACAATTAAACATTGAAACACTAGCCAAATAAAATGTACTTGAATTAGGCTATATAGAACTCATAGTTTAACTTGAGGGTTTTAATCTTCAACCCTACATTGTGGTTTGTTAGCACCCAAGTACCTCATGGCATTTTGATTTTGTGGTGAGGTAGCCTGCAAGTGCTAATGTTCAAGCTGTAGTGGCACTCCCTTCCAATGTCAATTTTTTGGGGAATTACAATTAAGGATTTTGTTTTTGTTAGCAAGGTTACTTGAATGGAAAAGAGCCCAAACTGGCACAAGACACACAAAACGTTTGAATATTTCACTGTTACTGACAGCATTTTGAACGAAGGAAGAAAGAGATTTTCCTAACCAAAAATCTCTTCCTTCGTTGAAAATACTCTCAGTGACAGTGAAATATTGAAATGTTTTGTGTATATAGGGTGGTAATAAAGTCCGAAGACGGTTAAATATTTTAAAAAATAATGTAGATAGACCTACAATACTTGGTACAAAGTTACAGAGCATAAAACATTATTTTAACACATATTCAGTGATCCAATTACTCTTCAGGGAGTCGGAAGAAAATCTTAAATGGAAGTATAGGTCAATATGCACATCAAATTAAAGGTCTTTTTTAGTAGAATACAATGCCGCAAAACGCGCACTTCAAAAGGTTAACCCTGCGCAAAATGGCAGCCGTTCAAAGATTTCTTGAATCTGCCATTTTGAATCTTTGAACGACTGCCATTTTTTACTCAGGTGTTGTTTTTAGCTTGAATTTACGGCATTGTAATCTACTAGTGAAGACCTTTAATTTTATGTGCATATCGACCCATGCTTCAGGGCCGCGTTAAGGGTCAATGGAGCCCTGGGCAAATTCAAAATCAGCGGTCTCCTTTTGTCTTAGAGCGGGCGGGCAGTAGTTGTACGGCACCCGCCAGGCGCCCCTCAACCACTGACGCCCCTGGGCATATGCCCAGTCTGCCCGTTTATAAAAGCGGGCCTGCCATGCTTACGTTAACAATTTTCTTCCGATTCCTAGGTCTGTGCCCCCTGAGGAGTAAGCGTATAATAGCAATGCAAATTAAATGAATCTTTGAAAAATTGTCATTCTTGGCTCGGTTGTCCGTTTGAGTTCAAATTTGTGGCATTATACTCTGCTAGTAAAGACCTTTAATTTGATGTACGTGTCAACCTATTCTTCTATTTAAGATTTTCTTCTGACTCCTTGCAGGACGTCCCCATGATATGACAGAAAATTGCTATTTCCTAAAAAAAAGTAGATTTTTAGGTGTGGTGTTGATGTACCAAATCTTATTGATTTATTGTTGTCGTTAAGAAAATATTTTACTGTCTTCGGACTTTATTACCACCCTGTATAGTATTAAGTTGTGTGTCTCTGGTGCCAGTTTGGACTCTTTCATTCAGGTAATCGTGCTATCCTCACAAAAATCCTAAAAATCTGATGAGTTATTAGTGTAAGATTTACTCTACTAACCAATACAGATATAACAAAAATGTCTTATGATTTGTATGATTTTTCAGAAAACTGCAAGCTTGTAAATCATTACAATTCCTAAACATTTTCGGGTTGATGCCACCCAAACAGTTGGAGACTTTTACCAAGGCCATGAAGTCTATTCAGATCAACAAACATGAGTTCTCCACAGTAGCCAGGCCTACAGTTGGTATCAGACGAACTTCCATTTGGGGTCTTCGAGTTCGAGACTGAATTATGTAGTAAGTATTAAAATTACTGAATATTTCTCAACTATTTAAATCTCTTAGTGATTGATTTAGTCAGCTTCAACGTTTTTGAATGCCTTGCAAACCTTTCAAAGTGTTGTTACTTATTGGTCTTTCAGTTAATAATTTTCACTAAAAAACACATTTTTTGTTTCAGATGTGATGTTGTATTCTGGTCAACGGTGTTTTTTTCCTGTGGTTGACTCCGTTTTTTTCTTGGTTGTGTTAGATTATTCTTCGATTCCATAAACTATTTTTGAAACGTTCCCTGATGCTGTGTTTGTTATTTTAGTCATTAGATGTACTAAGTTACATTATTACTACCACATTGGTCGCTAAGTATAACAACAAGAATATTTTGGTGTTAGTTCTTAGTTTAGTTATAAATGAATTACAATGGCATGTAGCGTTTTATGTTATGGTTTTTGAGTTACATTACTTTAAGTTTTGTACTTATGAGATTTTTCACAGGGTTGAATTTTGTTTCCAAAGACTTTAAAAAAAGCTAAGGATAGTTTTTACGTTTATTTAATCTTTCCCGCCTTTGATTTTGCTCCAAATTTTATGAGTTTTTCAGTTAGTTATTATGCTTTTTTTACAATCAAAAGAAACATTTAAGGGACTCATCATTTTCTTTAAATGTATCACTACAAAAAGTAAAAAAAGCTTAATTTGTGTTCAAGCTTGTAGGCCTATCCTCAATAAAATCTATCAGTAAGAAAAACTCCAAAAAAATCTTTGCTTGTCCAAAATGTAGTTTTACATTTCTCAGCAAGGTTGAAATTGCCGATTATTGTTGTTAGTAGACAAGATACTCAGGAACGAATATATGTATATGTGCTGCCCTTAAGTGCTATTCTAAGCCGCTTCCTCAACCCATTAAGTAGGTTTTCCATGGCAAGGTCAGTGAATAAAAGGGAACCATGACTTGTTTGATTTCAATAGTCACTGCCTCATCCAACCAAGCCTTCCTTCATCTAGATCCAGTTTCTTTATATTTCTTTAAATAGTTTTATGACTGATTTTTTTCATCCGTTGGAAGTTAAAATAAAAATAAACAAAACGTGCATCAAAAAGGGAAGTTCAATTTCTTATCTTTTGGCGTTCTCAGTCAGACGTAGGGTTTTTTCACCTTTTTATTCGGCATCCTCATGAAGTACAGTCCGCATATTCTGCCGTTACTAGGTATGTTGCCTAGCAGGAACTATTCCCTAAACATACTTCTTACCATACACACATTTTCAATCAAAATCATCCATAAAAATAAACAAAAAGTTTGTTTCCTCAAAAAAACACAATTTAAAATTAAAAAATAAAATTTTCTCTCAATCCATTATGTTATATTAAGCATATTCTTTGACGGTTATTTAATTAAGGATGAATATTGTGGATAGTTGAACTGTTAACTCATTGAATAGTTAAAAATGTATTTTAGCACATATTTTGGTTTAGATATACCGCCTTTCAATGTGCAAGTTAATGGCAGGTTATTTCTAGGTGAACCAATAGGGTTATTTATTATTTTATTTACTGAAATATATGACCCACCTAGTTTAATGTAATAAACATGTGTTAATATGTTTCTTAAACTCAATTTCGCACAATACAAGCTGCTGTGCAAGGTATTATATTGGTCTCACAATTTCCATTAGTTGTATGGCATATATGGTTATGTATTTAAAAACTTCATGGCTGTATTCAAACAAATTATGCCGGTTTGGTTTTCTATTATTATTTTTTACTATATTAAGGTTTCATATATAATTTATATTTGTAAAAGGCTGTTCTGATTTTGTAACATCTTAAGTTTGCAAACATCGATGCATATCAGCAACGACTGATTGAAATTTGTAGATAATTTTGTATTATTTTATGTATAGATGTATTTTTGTATATTAGATTAGATATTATATAGGCTAGATCCATGTGGCCAAGAAGTCTGATAGGCATAAGAGATATGCTATGCTCAATGGATACTATTTGTTTATGACGCTTAATAAATTAAAGCATAAATAAAAACTTGTATCCTAAGAATATGAATAAAAGTATTAAGTTAGTAATATGTCATTCACTGTATAATATTATTTTTTTTACTGTTGTTTAAACACTTAATGATGAAATAAACAAGGGATGGTAGAGTAACAGAATTACAATTAATTATTTGGTAAAGTTGATGTTGGCCTTTTGTAATGTCGTTCTGTTATTCTACCATTCCTTAATCACTTAGGTGTTTTCAAATTGGAAAACTAATAAATAGTATCAGACGGCTTAAAACTTTTTTATAGCTTATTTTTTGGGTAATGATGTTTTTATGGATTTACAGTGTCCAATTCTATATTTGATGGGAAATCAAAACTTATGTTCATGGAAAAAATAAAATCTTTTGTTATTCATACCTATGGCTTTTTCTCACTCCTCCAATTCTGTGGATCTCTGAAAAAAATACCCCCGCCGCAGCAAACCTGCCGACTAAGCGAATTTCCATTTGTCTGAATTTATTTTCAGTTAAATATATTTTAATAACATAAGGTTTAACGAGTACCTAGGTTTGCTGCTACAAGGAAACTAATAAAGTGTGTTTTTGAGTAAAATATTGATAGCTTAGTACAAAATAAATAAATTTGCCAAGTTTGATCAAAATATATCCATAAACAAGCAAACTACAACATTTGACAATATTCTCCATAAGAATAACATGGGAATTTTTAATTTACAATTTTTTAAATTTTCTCCGTTACTAATAATCGAACAAAAATACTTTTATATACTAAATTATTTGTTTTTTTAAGCTCTTTAAAAAGGTCTAAAGAGAAATTGGGAAATTTTGTGTTTTGAGGGTCAAAAGTGAGAAAAACCAATTTTTGCCCCATAAAACCCCCCGTAAAGCCCCGTTCCCATGGTCCGATCATGCTGGTTCGCGAACTCATTCAAGTTTATCCCGCTTTACACCTTTAAACCAAATTTCATCAAAATCGGACAAAAATTACTCAAGTTATCGCGTTCACGGACGTATATATATATATAAATCTATAGTACCTGGGGACCGAGCTTTGCTCGGGGAAAATCATTCCCCCACTCTGCGATGCCACCATTTACATTCCTTCACCATTTCCTACGTCATGGACCTGTTTACTTCCCTTATCATAGCATTTAAGAATTACAGATACATTAATCTATCTGCCACAAACGGTTCCCAGTTCCCACAATCTGCGATGCTAAACTTTACTACTTCCTACGCCGTGGAACTATTTTCATCTCTTTCCATAGCATTTTAGTATTTTAAATACATTAATCTGATTGCCACAAACATTTCCCACACTCCGCACTGCTAGCATTTACTACTTCTTTCACCATTTCCTATGTCTTGGACATGTTTCCATCCCTTCTCATAGCATTTCAGTATTTCAATTTCAGATACATAAATCTAACTGTTACAATTAGTTTCCAGTTCCCACACTCCAGACTGCTCGCCTTCACTACTTCCTTCACCACTTCCTACGTCTCAGACCTGTTTTCCTCCCTTCCCATAGCATTTTAAGATTGTAGATACCTTAATCTAATTGTCATTAACAGTTCCCACACTCCGGACTGCTCGCCTTTACTACTTCCTTCACCACTTCCTACGTCTCGGACCTGTTTTCCTCCCTTCCCATAGCATTTTAAGATTGTAGATACCTTAATCTAATTGTCATTAACAGTTCCCAAACTCCGGACTGCTCGTCTTTACTACTTCCTTCACCACTTCCTACGTCTCAGACCTGTTTCCCTCCCATCTCATAGCATTTTAGGATTGTAGATACCTTAATATAATCGTCATAAACAGTTCCCACACTCCGAACTACTCACCTTTACTACTTCCTTCACCACTTCCTTCACCACTTTCTACGTCACGGACCTGTTTCCCTCCCTTTCCATAGCATTTTAGGATTGTAGATACCTTAATCTAATCGTCATAAACAGTTCCCACACTCCGGACCGCTCACCTTTACTACTTACTGCCTTCACCACTTCCTTCGTCGCGGACCTGTTTCCCTCCCTTCCCATAGCATTTAGGATTGCAGATACCTTAATCTAATCGTCATAAACAGTTACCACACTCTGGACTACTCGCCTTTACTAATTCCTTCACCACTTCCTACGTCGCGGACCTCTGTTTCCCTCCCTTCCCATAGCATTTTAGGATTGGGTATACCTTAATCTAATCGTCATAAACAGTTCCCACACTCCGTCCCGCTCACCTTTACTATTTCCTTTACCACTTCCTACGTCACGGGCCTGTTTCCTTACCTTCCCTTAGCATTTTATAATTGCAGATACTTTAATCTAATCGTCATAAACAGTTCCCGCACTCAGGATAGCTCGCATTGACTACTTCCTTCACCACTTCCTATGTCGCGGACCTGTTTCCTTACCTTCCCATAGCATTTCAGGATTGCAGATACCTAACCATCCTTATGGAACAGCTGAAGCCACTTTTATTGTTAGTTCTGTCTGGTTTTCTGTAGATGTCGTGTTTTGTTTACAATTTGTTTATATTATTTTTTGGTTAGTTTCTCATTATTTGTGTCTCACTGTTTGGTTATATAGCCAACGATAGTAATATAGTAATATAGTACGGTAAGATAGTGAACGAGTTATCGTTTATGATTAAATATCTTTATTTGGTTAAACGAGGTTTTAAATTACTGAAATAACAAGAAACAAATTGTAAACAAAGCACGACATCTACAGAAGACGGACAGAACTAACAATAAAATTGGATTCAGCTGTTCCATAAGGATGGGAAATCTAGGCCTTAATCTAATCGTAATAATAGATCCCACACTCCGCGCACTGCTAAGTTAACATTTCCTACAATGTATCGAATAAGCTTCAGTATAATCATTGCTCAATAGTAACAAGTGATGTTTTTGCTTTTGTACTGTATTTTATAATTTCTACTACACTGTGGGTAGATGCCTTTATGAACATATGTGTTACAACTTACAAGTCTTTTGTTTACTTTTTCCTTGTTATTTCATTCAACCAACATGGTTACTTAGCAACCCATTAGACTAATGTTAAAAAAATGTGACTTTCAGTTTCATTTTTCCACGTAATTAGATTTTTGTTGGCAGTTATAACTGCAGTAAACTTGTTTTTAGGTCAAAATTAAACTATTTACAAAATTTGAAGAAAATCGTCGGAGCCGTTTTCAAGATCTTTGTGCAAGCAAGCATACATACATACATACAAGCAAACATTGCTCGTATTAGAGTATAGGATATATACATACATATATAAAAATTTGAACGAATGGTGTTTTTGGCCTCTGGGGACATCAAAATGAAAAAGTAAATCGGTCCCGGGTCTAGGTCTTACCGTGCCACCTACGGTAATAGCTACTTCCCTATAGGGAAATTCGCTAAAAACAACACTACAAAGGAACGTATGCCTAACATAATTGCATACATTTAAATTTGTTTACCTACAACAGTTTTTTTAAAGTATCCGTTTCAGTTCAGTTCTTAAAATTGAAAGTTTCCCATAACCGGTAATGGACAAATGAGGTTCAAGGATTGAGAGAGAAGAAGTAAAATTGTAAAGATTCAAAATTCAACTAATCAGCTGTTCAGGCCAATTCAATTGTTGAATGGTGCAATTAGTGTTTGGTACAGTGTTGCCACTTTTAGGGTAATTACCCTTTTTTAGGGTAATTTACTAGTCTTAGGGTAAAGTTTAAGGTAATGGTAGTTTTAGGGTAAAACAAAAAGTTAGCATAACAATGAAAATTTAACTAAAAACATGAAAATAAACTTCAAAATTTGGCAAAAAACGTTCATTACCTACATATTATAGCCAAACCGTCATATGTGATTCAACCGGTTTAAAAATTGATTGTTATGATGCAATTTTTATTTCAAGTTAATCGATGGATCCAATCAATAGTAGTGAATTATCTGCTTTAGATTGTATTCAATTCTATTTCTATAACACGTTATAATAAAATATGACATATTATTCATTACTTCTTTATTTTTAATTATGTGATTGAATTGAATCAAACTAGGATTATTTTACAAATTGTGTCAAAAAATTTCTGCTAAGTATAGATTAAAGCTTTGGTGTTACCGTACTGTATTGAAAAGATATGATTAACCAAAAACAGTAGTAGGCTAATGGGTCGACACAGTAAGAAAATACGATAATTCTTGATTCGATATTTTTCGTATATAATAATAGAGCTGGATATCGACATTTTGTTCTTCTTTTTCGGGTTTTTTTTTAAACGAGTATAATTTTACGTATATTGATTGATATTGGAACCTTATTTAGTTTAATTAACCACCTTATGTAAGATTTATATTTTTTTAACGATGATTTATAGCATTAAACGCAAATATTAACATTTAGGGTAACTCAAAGTAGATTTAGGGTAATTTTAGCCCGCCTTTAGGGTAAAATCACAACAACGAGGTGGCAACACTGGTTTGGTAGAAGCAGTAGAAGTTTCTTTGCATCACTGTCAGTGGCAATGAGAGGTTATAAACTAAAACATAACCTCTCTTAGAAGTTATGAGTAGTTATTTTTTAGCTATTTACCTTACAAGTGTAGTAAGAGCGTTTTTACATCACGCAGGTGAATATTGTGCAACGAGCGGAAGCGAGTTGCATAATTTACCTAAGTGATGTAAACACGCTCTTGCATAACGTGTAACGTACAAGATTTTACCTGACCCGACAATGGGTACAGGAGGTTACAAACAATATTTTTCACTATCTATTTCACTCATCTTCTAACATAACGTTCATTTACAAACAAAAGCTATTTTAGGAAAATTCTTCAAAACATAACGATAAAATTCAAGCGCACAGCTGATTTCTAGCGTTGAACGTCGTTGGCTCCATAGAGGTATATTTTTTAAGTTAAGCACTCAATTTAAATGGTTTTCATTACCTCACCGAGTGAGTTTTTTTTTAACTTTACATCACTCGAGAAGTAAGGAAGTTCCATACATCACGCTTGGGATAGGGAAGTTTAACATGGCGGGTTAGGTAAAGTAATTTAAACACTGTCGTAGGTAATACCACGCAACTCGCCAAGGCTCGTACCACGATTACTAGAAAAATACCGGTATGGATCATAAACATAAACAAATGACGTTTTTGGCCCGAAAATAAACATGCGAAAACATATGTTCAATGCTATTAGTATAGGATTCGGGCCAACAACGTCATTTGTTTATGTTTATGATCCATACCGGTATTTTTCTAGTATTCGTGGCTCGTACCATAAATTTTCTACTGTGTCTACGTGTCGTTAGCATATCTTTACGTAATCGTTGTGTAAACTACTATTTCGGTTGTTATACTGTATTAAGTTTGAAAATAACCTCTATTTTATGTGGCAACCTCTATTTTATGTGGCAATCTTGAGTTCAAAAATTGTTTAATAACCCTTGTTAAAATTGTAATAAATGGGGAATGAATGAATCTATATATTTAATACGCTAAATGGAACTTTGTCGGTTGAACTCCCCCGCCATTTCTTAACCGATTTTATCCATTAAATAAATATTGAATTTGGGATTCCTGAAGGCTCAATTTTGGTCCCTTAATTGTTCATAATTTATATCAACGTAATTACCTATTACGGTACCCCAAAAATTTCATACTCTTCATACTTTTCATAAGGTTTTTTTTAAGTAAAACATTTCCCTATACATTTTTAATTAATACTTTAAATTGGAATGGCGACCATACAAAGAAGGTATTTTAAGCCAAGTCGTATGAATGGAGATGAGTGTTGGATGGGCACAAAAATGCACAATCATCATGATTTGAGTTACGAAATGCCATTGTCGGCTGACTCAACAGTAATAATTTCTTATTTTGCTATCAACAGCTGATTGCTTTTAACCACTAGTTGTCAGCTGGCTGACTTGACATTACTAAAGAATTCCTATGCTGCATTGAAAAATGTCCAATCTACATAAATTTAAAATAAAAATTATTTAACAAATGTTTACTCGTTAGGAGTGATTTTTGAGAGTAGACTTTATCGTTGACAATGACCACGTAATCAGTTAAACGTGGGCTTGAACCTTCAGTAGAGTCTGAACTAACTCTGTCTTCGTCAGAAGAAATGAAATAAGTCAAAAGTCGGAACAGAATATCAGCAATAGCGAACAGCCTAGGATTCACAGACTTTGGTCCCAAGTTATCGATTGTCAAAAACACTGTCCTATCCTATTCTAATGAATGTGTCCATAATAGCATAGACTAACCAACATAATAGTTAATAGTCGTATCGTATCGTAACGATAATCTAGGTTTAAGAGAACCCTCTTGTCGTATTAATTGTATTCGAGATTCCAGATTCAACTCTTTCGAGTCACTGGACTGGAGACTGGAGACTAAAGCTTGTGAAGCTGGGCTAATTTAGGGAGCGAGGGCGAGCGAGAGCGAGTTTGAGTTTGAGAAATAAGAAGACGGAAGTTAAGGAAACGTCAACAAGCTATTTTTATCTAATCATTGGTTCACAACTAAACAAGTAGTGCATTATACAATCAGAATCAGAATAAAGTCCAAAGTTTAATTTTGACTTCCCGTTTGTGAAAGTGAAGCAATCAGTGCAGTTTTTTTAAAGCAATATTTGATTTCTTAGTCAGTATACCCCTAGGTTTCGGTAAAGAATAGTGAACAATTAGACTACGCACTACAAGTTTGCAAAATTCAGTATTATACATGTATTCTTAGTGTTATTGTGCTTTCTTTTAATTTTCTCATAGACTTAAAGCTTTTACTAAGGAAAAGCGTGTAGGTTATTGTCTCGATATGGCCAGCATCAAACAAGTAAGTAAAATAGGCCTACAGTCATTTTAGATAATTTTATTTAACTTAAGTTAACTGTTTCCCAATTTAGACAAGTTAACTTAACAAGCACAATTCTAAACTTATCGATAGTGATAGTTCAAACAATTTGCATACATATTATATGTATCCTTCCAAAAACTTTACAGCTAAACTGGTTTTCAGGAAGACAATATTGGGAACTATCTTCTCGAATCAGTTGTTTGTAAATGTAGCCTATTTTGTATATTGAAATTCTGATGCCATCAATCCCTTATTGGTTAAAAGATGAAGTCATGGTAATAGGCCTAAGGTAAATCTTGGCTTTCTATGGCATAGGCCTAGGCTAGATGCAGGCTACAGTTCCGCAGAGAACCTGCGATAGCCTTTATTAAATTGGATGAACTTAAAGGTTATTGTTTCTGACCACCAAGTCACCTATGGTAATAAATAATATAGGCTAATGTTAAGTTACCTTCTAACGTTCCAAAATAGTCTAACTTAGTCTTAAGTACGACGCGTTTCGTCAACCCAGGTTGACATCTTCAGGTGATCCGCTATCGCTTCGTTTTGAACTTTAACACAAAACAGTCATAACACATATCACGAACACATATTTACTACATTTAAGGACCGATCGGTATTGTCGCCGCTGTGGCCACAACTCGCGTACGCACATGATTCACCTATGGTAAGCCTATAACTTAACGTTCTAAAATCGCTTTTAAACTACCTACCGGAAACAAAAACTAGGTAGGTAGCTGTCGCGATCTTTTGTTTTAGGACGGCTTACATCTGAATCACACTAATGAATGTTATATCATTTGAAAGGAAATTAAAAAGAGAATAACAATTAGCAAAAAACAAAATTTGTGTACGGTAACCTAAGTAAAAAAAAATTGGTCTGGCTCCCCTAAAGTATGGTAGGCTACCTATTAAACTCTGTCATAAGTTTGTCTCTAAGACAAAATATTTTATGTTTTAACATTGAAATAGTTTTTTCGGCAGCACTTTACTTTAGGTCCTACACTCATTCGAATGAAAATATCGATCGATATATCGAATGAAACAATCGAATACCTAATTGATATTTTCATTCGGTTGTTTGTGTAGGACCTACTGTAAAGTAAAGTGCAGCCGTTTTTTCCTTCATGGTCTGGCTCTAACGCATGTCATAGGTTTTTTAACCTTCCGTCGGGCGCATTGATTTTCAAACACCAAAGGGCGCTCACGGAAGTTATCTCCGGGAGTATAAAAACTATGCAATGATGAGTAAAAAACATTTTAATAGCAATAAAACTGTAAGAAAAACATTTTTTATGAGTTATTAGGCTACACGATTACCTAAGTAGCCTAGTACTGCGGTATATCAAATAGAAAATGTAATAAAAACAAATAAAAATATGTAGCCTAAGTGTTGTGGATAAAAAAGTACTTTTTGTACTTATACAACTACTATCGTATATTAGAAAACAAATTTGAATATTGTATGACTATAACATAAAAAAACGTACCAATCGAATAAAAATAATAATTTTGTACAAGAACAACTCATTCAATCAAAGCTCTTAGACAAAAATTGCATCAGTGTATATGACATAAAAACACCTATGGTATTATGAAAAAAGATAATTATTTCATAAGGACAACTTACTTTGTCAAAGCTCTTTAGAAAAAATTGCAATGGTGTTTTAAATAAAACACTTAGCCTATAGTCAAATGCAAAAAATCATTTGTTAGAAAGACCACACATTTTGTCAAAGCTCTTTTTCATGAAAAAAAGCTTACCGAACTCACGCACCGTTAGTTCTTTCTTCTAAATGTTGTTCCTTGTCCTCCCTTTCAACACTAGCCAACAATCTCGCAATTAAGTTCTTCTTCATCCTTTTTATAATATCGCTAAATACGGTCAAACAAGGGTGCACACGGAAGTAGGCTCCAGGAAACCTGTTGCATCACAGGGCGCTCACGGAAGCTACTTCCAGTAGCGACGCAAACCACTCCCCAAGGTCGACTGACAACTGGGAAAGGGGTAAGAGTATACAAAACCGATTCCGCAAAAGTGGTTCGTGAGGTAAATCAAGCCACAGCCCTGCTGAACTCATACTATCGGTTTTTATAACAAAGTAATGACCTGGAGGTAACTTCCGTGATGCGCCCGATAGAAAGTTAATATTAACATGTGCTTTATTATGGTATTATTGTTGGTTATAATGTTCTGTGTTCATGTTGATGAAAAATAAAAGGTTGTAAGTTTACTCATTTATTTTTTGCTCTTGATTATTTAGCGATTTTTCTCTCTATCAAAGTATTCAACCAAGTTTTCCTCTCTTTTCACTAAAACTCTTAATATCTCAAAGACACATCAAGATTTACAAAGAATAAAATAGTTTACTGTAAGGTAAAATCTCTTCCTTAACAAAAATATCATTTGGTACCTAATAATCAAGACTGATGCTAAATTTTATTCAAACTATTCTAATTCTCTCCTCTCTAATCATTTCAATGTATCATTACCATATTTAATGGCAGTTTCTCTGCGGAACTGTATCCTATGAGTTAATCTGAATCAATTGTAAATATTGTGTCTTCATTTTACATTTTTTAAGTTCTATTTTCTCTCTATAACTTGAGTTATTGCTAGACATAGTCATAATTCTTTATTTAGGCCTACAATTGATCTTCAAGAACAGCAAGCTTACATGAGTCGATAATACAAATAAGTAATGAGTTCATGTATTTCATATGTTATTCTTCGATTCTTAATAAGATTCCCTCATGGTGTAAAATGGTCTCTGAGGCAGCCACTTGTCTAAAGCCGACTTATATCTTCACCTCGTAGAGTCTTCATTGTTTTAGGTAGAGCGTTGCATAATCTACGGCCTGCGTGTGAATGCTTCTTCTCAAGCTGAGCTTATGTTTCATAGCCAACATAACAATTGATAGTAAATCAACAAATTCTTTGCAGGTATTTCAGTCAGCTATTCGAAATGGAGGCAAGACAAGTTCTCGAATGCTGTCAAGTGCTCAAGCCCAGGTGGAGCATGCAGCAGAGCACAAACATGCCAGTGGAGTTAAATTTGGTAGGTGAAAATGAGTCTATTCTCTTTTTATGAGCCTCGGTTTATTTGTTTAACTATTCACAAAACCCAGACAGTTCAATTAAGTAACTTTATCACGCAAACCTTGGGAAATGAGTGTGGTCAAATGGCACCTCCCATTTTACCACAATTTAATTGCGTACAATCAAGATATGGTATAACATTTGTAGGCCTACCGCCTCCTGCTTTTTAGGTACTCCATGCACAACTTTTAAGTCTATGCAGTCCTGCAAATGTGAATGTCCAAGGGTACCGGTAGGTACGCTTTTAAAAGTCAAATGTGTTTAGTTGTAAAAAAGTTTGAGTAAAAAAAAAAAATTAAGATGTAGCTTAGTTGCAAACATTTAAAACTCTAAACAGTCAACACCTTAAATGACTGGGTTTTCCTCATTTTTTTGGCAAACTCATTAATATTATCATTAAAGTTCATTTTCAGGGTTAGGCCTACACATCACGTTCGCCACAAATGATTTTTAGGCATAAATTATTTTTAATTATGCTGTGAGCCTTTTAACTTATTTATTATTTTAATAAACTTTTAACTTATTTTAGGAACTTTTTGTAACATATTTTCACTGTCCAAAAGCTTTTTCCCGCCCTCTTTTTAGACACACTAACTTACCATTTGGTTTTTTGCTCCTTTCACAAAAAAGGGTGTGATATTAAAATGTAAAATTAAACTCGTTGAACGTAAATAAAATCATAATCAAAAACACAGTCAGTAACTTTATTCGCTTACCAATTGATGTTTTTCACCCGATTTGACAATAAGGTACACACATTGGCGGATTAATGAAAAATGTAATAAAAAATTAATAGCGTACAAATAAGGTGGAACAAGTAGTGACATGATATCATTGACAATATAATGTATAGTTAACGATAATATGCAAGCAGTGGCAGTGATGAGTCATGAGTGGGAGCCGAAGTGAGGAGGACTCTATCGTAGCGCAATTTCAGATATTTTCCAAATCGTGTCTGTTGCTTGCGCCCCAACAAAACAAAACACTTTTGTGTAATCCTGGTACTGAGTTTAAGCCTAGTAGTTTAGCTCACTTAAAAGGTTAAGGGTTTTAAAATAAAAAAAAAACAATGCTGGCCCCTTCTTTCTACTTGACTTAGGCTAAGTATCAGAAAATCTACACTTGTTTACTCACTTAAAAAGGGGAAAATATGTTTTGTGTTGGAATTTTACTCATTTTTGACAGCACGTAATGTTTTTATCAGAACTGAACGAAATCCAAAGGGAATTTCAAGATCTTGCGAGAAGGTTTGCAGAGGAAGAGATTATTCCCAAGGCAGCCCACCATGACAGGACAGGAGAGTTTCCTTGGGAGATTGTCAAGAAGGCTCATTCTCTTGGGCTGATGAACGGCCATATCCCCTCTTCCTGCGGTAAGTTTCAAAACAATTTTAATTTCCTTTTTATGTAAAAATATTTCAAAAACGCTTAAATTTAAAATGTCATCACAGTTTAAAATAGATACACTCCTAAGTTATCGTAAAAACATTGATGAAACCTTGAATATCAAACTGATATAAGACAGGATTCCAGTATGAAATATTTGTTTAGTTCTCTCACAATGGCTCAATATTTGCTACGGATACTCTTGTTGTGTCTGTTTATTATATTACAGTTGTTACGTTGATTTGAGAATACGTAGGTTAAGTTAAAACTGCTGCTTCATACATTTTAGTTCCCATTCAGATAGTCCTACGTTCAATATTATTTGTTATGTGATTATTTAGCTTACATAAATAGAATCTGTAAAATACTAACTATTTGATCAGTGGTAGTTTCCAAATGTCATGTAGCCTAATACTTTCTCCGTATTCAGTGGTCATAATAATTTTTTTTTTCCTTTTTACTCTGTTTATCTGTGTATTGACTTGATTTTAAACATGCTATGATTCTTTGTTTTCATTTTCGTAGTTATTTTGTAACCATCATGGCAAACCATAAGCCTAATGTTAAAATTTAAAATGTTAAGTTACTTTAAATTGTATGTGCATTACCATATTAAAATTGTTTTTTTTTTCAAACCTTTCCATAATTTGTCGAAACAACCTGGTTAAAATATGCTCAGCTGTTATTGAGTGATAATGTAAGAAAGTTTGCATTGAAGCCGATAAGAGCTTTACTTTGCTCTGCTCAATCATCAACTGTTAAGCTACATGGAAAGGTTTGAATAGCTAAACTAATATTTGTTTAGTATGGTGATCATTATTTGTATTACAAACAATGGAGGGCACAGCTCGGAAATTCAGAGTGTCTTATGGTTATGAAGTTATTAGGTAAGAGAAAAACTAATTATGGGCCTACCTCAGAATTGAGTAGGCTTATTCAAGAACACAGCAGTACAATCCAGCAAAAATACATTAATTTGAAAGTGTTACTTTACAACTATCAAACTACTGTTTATTTTTGGCATTAAAAATATCTCTGCTAATCTTCAATACATAATTTTAGAGGTTGACAATTTGTGTGGAATTACAGCGTTTGTTAATAGAAAATTTTGACATATAGATTTTAGTTTGCATAACTTGTAACTTTATTCCCTCTGTAACCTATTATCTTGGTCTGTATGATAAAGCTTGCCCCTTGACCTCATTAGCATACTCGTCTTTGCCAGCTCATTATGTTGACTGAACATTTTTGTCAGAGGACTTCAGACAAAAATATTGTTGTTATGGTACAATGTTTTGTACCTTGGTTTTTGGAACAAAATGTATATTATTTTTGTATGAGAATATAATATTTCTCATTATGTTAATGTGAAATCCGAATTGATTGGTTAGGTACAAAATTGTTCAAGATTTTGGTTTTTACTTTTTGTACCTTTTTATTCAAGTTTTTGATTTATCGATAGGCCTATGCGTTTTAAAATCAATTCTGAATTATGTAGACTCAAAGACTTACATATTTACATCAAAGGATCGATTCCCCAGGTGGGCTCGGCCTGAGTGTGTTTGAAGGCTGTTTGATTGGTGAACAATTTGCCCGAGGCTGCAGTGGTATTAATGGTTTTATGTCAACGGGTATAGCAGTGAGTAGCATAATAGAAACTATTTTGCCTGGCGACTTTCATCTTTCGTTTCAGTCTTGTTATGAGAAGATGGAACATTACTCTTGTAAAACTATAACTAACCAAACTTTCTGCCAACATTAACTTTGAAATTATTATTTTGTAAATTAAAATATTTACACTCCTCGCAAAGTTATAGTAATCTATGCAAAATAAATACTACATCAACTCATATTCTTCAAGCTAGTGGTCAAGCTGTCAGATCACCTTTCACAATGGTTTCCCTCATCCACTTCTGTAAAAAAGGTTTATTCTGTAAAAATTAAATCCCTACTGATTCTGAATCTAGTGATTTCAATACATTTCTTACCAGGTGGACTAGATATGAGTATATTTGACGGTTGTTTGATCGCGGAGGAACTTGCCCGAGGATGTAGTGGCATTATGGCTGCACTTACAATTACCGTTGTCGGTGTAAGTTACTTCTGTGGTGGTGAAGGTGTGTTGTTGTGATTTTGTGATGGTGTCGGTGTGTTCTATGTGTCTTAGTACCTAAATGTCTTCAAAAGCAAAGAAGTTCAATTTCAGTTTGGAACAATGTTGGACACAACCGCAACACAAGAGTAACATAATATTCAATCAATTGGTATGCTGTTTTATTCTTTCCATAAGCCTACTTCCCTTGCACTTCCAGAAATCCAGCTATGTACCAGTCGTTGGGTACCCATTTTTTCATTTTAGTAAGACAATATTTCCATTTGCGCAAATGCACACTACCAATCACTGAGTACTGCTCGATTACTGACTCGAGTCAAAGAAGAATTGAATAGACTTTACCTTTGTCTATTCATACAACTAGACGTTCCGCCCCATGTTAAGTTTGTCACCAGTTAGTTTAGTTGTGTGAGCCACCAACGGCACCAACAGATTGTGCTGATGTAAATTACTGATTTCTGTTAAGTACCCAAAGTTTTTTACCAAGTCAAACTGATGGAACGACTTATTGTGAGCTATAGCAACTATGACCCATCAACTATGTCAGAAACAAAAAATAAGGTAGAAAAAAAGATTTTTAGACACTCACGCTTTCTTTGAATGGTTCACACAACTGTTCTTTCCTGATAAAAATTGGCAACACCTGGTCCATATAGATGGAATGTCGACTTCAGTACCCAATAGTCGATGATTTTACTCAAATCAGCCAAGTACTGCACTCATTAAATGCCTTGGGCATTTTCCACACATTGACCAAGTATTTTTGACCAGGTGGTCTAGGACTGGGCGTTTTTGATGGTTGTTTGATAGTAGAAGAGCTTGCTAGAGGATGCAGTGGTATGATGGCAGCTCTCACAGTCACTGACATTGGTGTAAGTTCCTCAAATTAATCAAATTATTGACATTTTGTAATGCTTGGTACAGGCCTGATGCAAGATTAACACATTCCTGAGGAAAGTAGAAATGGATGTTTTACAAAATTCAACTACTGGTGCAACTTCTCGACTGAAAACTGATTCAATGCAGTTTCTCATAATTTTGTTTTTGTTTTCTTAAACTAGGCTATAATGTGTTGTGTTGTTTTGACCGATTTCACTTCATTTCAGAGATGATTAAGAGATTTTAGAAATGCAAGGAAAGTTTTGTCAGAATCATTTCTGGTTATTATACAGACCTAACCAAATTCTGTGTGAACTTGGGTTATATCGCTTTGTGACAGATCTCATTACCTCTTTGGAAATAGAGGAATTGTTTTGTTGTTAGGTTTGTCTACCCTGTTCCTAGGTCTCGGTATAACTATGTAAAATGTGATTTTCTATGCTTCTAAGTCTTGTTGACCTTGTTGAGTATGAATAATTTGTGTGTAATATCAGTTAGTATATTCTTCAGCCTATATCTACTAGTCCATTAACTTTAAATGATCTGCAGTGTAATACAATTACAATATAAAATTGCACTAATTAAAATTATATTCTTTCATTCACAACCCTTGAGATTTTATTTTAATTAATTCCTTATTTAAATTTGATTATGGTTTATAATTGCATAATCAATACTGTAGTTAAACATTATTTTCAACTCATCTCAAGTTGAAAAAATAAATATATCACTCAAATGATTTATGATTGATGTTTAGGCCACCATGGGTTGGGTCAAGTTTTGTCCGAATTGTTTACTTTCAGAACCAAATATTCTCGGTAGTTCTGTACTGGAAATAATGGTAAATTATAAGCTTATGAAGTGATATCACTGAAGTTATTTTGTATTTCAAACTACGCCACGCCTCAATACATGGTCCGAGACAACGCTTCAGTAAGGTTTGCCCTTAGGTGGATTGGATATTGGTGTCTTCAATGATTGTTTGATATGTGAAGAGCTGGCGAGGGGGTGTACAGGTATCACTCTAGCTATCCACGGCACCTCCCTGGGAGTAAGTATCCGGAATATCCTCGGAGGCAACTGTGTACTTTGGGACGGAGCTTAGTCATTCTTCACTAACTAATCCATACTTTCTTAAATCACTACCAGGGTTTGTAATTCTTAATCTGTGTTTCATGTCGTCTAATTGGTCAACAGGGTTGTTGATAAACTGTGTCTCTTCTAAGTCTCAAAACTAAATATAATACATGCTTATTATCCTACATATTTAACCCTGGGCCTCAAAAATAACAATTTAGGATACATTCATTCCTCTACCAGCTCCGAATATGACCTCAACTTCCTTAGATTGGGTCTCACTTTGAAATTGAGGTCTTTGCAGTGGCCGTTGTTTTTTTTGGTTGGACCCGATCCCCTATCCGTTGCCAAGGCAACACATGCTGAGGAGAGAAATTAACTACTTGATGACAGACACTTACTAAGCATATTTTAAAACCAATATGTTTTCCCCCACCTTTGGACATTAAATCAAAAATTATTTTTCCTTGATATCACTTTTAAATACATATTACTCCCTGTAAGTTTACCTCTGTGATTCTGTACAATGCCAAGCACTCCGTAGTTTTTATGTGTTATACTTGAAGTTGACAGCATCCGTATTGGATTACCCCAATTCGTCTTCAGATTTGCATTCAATACTATTGATTTACGAGTTTCCATTACGGTTCTCTGTCCACCGCCACGTCATACTTGTGACCCTGTCTTGCCGCCCACTCACTAAGTTGTGGTTGTAGGTGGCATGGGGATGGGTGTATTTGACGGGTGCCTGATTGCCGAGCAGCTCGCTTACGGGTGCACCGGCATTATGACGGCCCTTGAAGCTAGCGGCCTCGGTGTAAGTTTTTGTTTCATCTTTGCACGACCAATTAGAAGCCAATAACCGAAAATTTTTGACCATTTGGAGAAACCAAATAACCAATTAATTTTGTTTAGAATAACCAATATAGTTAATCTTTCAGAATGAAGAATTATGTAGTTTGAAGTTCATAATATTTTTAAAACAACGTTCCCTAATTGTAAATAGATTTTCATCCACTCACTTTTTGCATGGCTTACTAATTGTTAGTAGATTAGTTTTGTAGAACAGCATGCTGTTAGATTGTGAGTGTCAAGTAGTGTTAGATTTTAACAGTTATATTTTCACAGTTGTTGTCAAATAATTATTGACCGCAGTTAGTTTTTGCCAACAATTTAATTCAGTTGCATTTATAGCATATAGGCTAGAAATCTCATGGTTCTCCAGTTTAAAATTGTAAAAATTAGTGCAAAAAAAAGTGTAAAAATTCTTCTAAGCTTGCAATTATGTTTTGGCATAAGCTCTACTAATAAGAATCTAAATCTAAATCTCATTTTGTGTCAAGGTTGGCTTTTAAGTTGGTCGTAAAAATAGAACAGGACATTGACAAAAATATGAAAAATATTGGTTACTAACGTCACTTATACATACTACCAGTCATATTATAATATTAATTGCTTTTACACATGCCATCTTGTAAAAAATTAACCTAGAATTCAAATTCAAGAAAAAAGTGTTCAAGTTAGACAATTGATTTAGTCGATGAGAACTATAACTTTTACACTTCTCCTTGCTTGTCTTGTGTAAACACCGCTTTAAAATAAGTTGGTTTATAGTAAAAGTATCTTATTTAATTTTCTAAAATTTATTTTTACAGCAAACTCCAGTGTTAGTTGCCGGGAGTGAGGCTCAGAAGAAGAAATATCTCGGAAGACTCGTTGATGAGCCTTTACTAGCTGTAAGTATTGTTTCCATTTATTGAAAATTTTTGGCTTACACTTTCAAGGTTTCTAGTATTTTTTAACAATTTGTTTACTATTTACAAACACTGTCTCTGTATATAGACTCTCGCCGATACACAGAATTTTGTTGTTTTCTTGGGTATGTGTATTTCTTTACAAGTTAAAAGCAAATTGTTTTCGTTAATTACCAAAAAGCTATTTAAGTTTTGATGTACATTGTTAACTTGGAAATAATTTGTTCTTTAGATCCTAGTAATAGTTGTAATCTATTGTATTACTTGTGGAGGAATAAATATTTATTATTATTATTATTATTATTGTTATTGATAATGAGAAAAATGTTGCAGGCGTACTGTGTCACTGAGCCTGGGGCAGGTTCTGACGTTAACGGAGTCAAGACCAGAGCAGTCAAGAAGGGAGACGAATACATCGTTAATGGTCAGAAAATGTGGATTACCAACGGAGGTGTAGCTAACTGGTTGGTACACGTTTGATTTAATAGTTACTGTAACTGTAGTAAAAATCGCAAAAATTGTCTTTAAATATGATTAATAAACTCATTATTTTCAAATGATAAACCATTGAAGCCATGTCGTAACAGCCAATTATTCATATTTGTCAGTTATAGAACAAAAGTAGATCTGTCGGTTGAAATAACTGTGTGACATTTTGTAGTAGTGTAATGAAACCGTGTAGCCTATATACCGTATGCTGTTTTTAGTATAGATATAGAATATAGAATATCATCTATTGCAGGTACTTCCTGTTGGCTCGCACAGACCCGGACCCCAAGGCTCCTGCCAGCAGGGCCTTCACTGGCTTCATCGTGGAGAGAGAGACCCCTGGACTCACCCCTGGCAGAAAGGTATAATCTATCTCTTGTCTTGTCTGGTGGCCAAGTTAAAATCTGGCCAAACAATCTAAGCTTTTAGCTGTAGTCTGATGATCAACCTTTAAACAAAAATATTGGTTTTAAACACCACAAATTTTGATGATCTTCACCCAGGATGTCTACTGGCTAATAAATTCCTCAATTAAAAGTCACTGATTTGACTAAGAGGCCACAGTAGACACTGATTTTAATTCAGAGGCATTCTTAGTGACAATATTAGGCTATATCGGAGCCTTATGTGTTTTTTACATCCACTGAAATTAATAGCAATGATGAACAAAGAGATATATACTCTTTTTTTATAATGTAAGCTAGGTATATAAGTGTAAAAATAAGTACTAGCTAATAATACTATGCATTCATACATACACTCCCATTGATTAATTAATAATTGACTCGTGGGTTTTGAAGTTCAAAGTATTTTTCCCTATTGTACATTACACATAAACGATGCATTATATACTTCATCATGGCAAAAGGCACTTAAAAATCGTGAATTTTTATTTAAAAGCACTGATGAACACGTTTTTTACTTTGGATTAGTGGAATTAGCAATCAATAGGAAAGTATTCAAAAAATGCTCTTGAAAACCCATTAAAATAATTAACAGGTATTTGGCTAGAGATTTTTAATGTATCTTATGGACTTTTCCCAATAATATGTATTTAATTTCATACATTATGGCTAAGTGCACAGTCATATTAAATCTTATTGCAAATGTTTTTCAGGAAATCAACATGGGTCAAAGAGCATCTGACACCAGAGGAATTACGTTTGAAGATGTTCGAATCCCCAAGGAAAACGTACTCGGGGCCGAAGGTCTGGGATTTAAAATCGCTATGGAAACTTTTGACAAGACCCGCCCACCCGTGAGTACAACTGAACACTGGACCTATAACATTGATCAACAGTGGTTGTTTTTATGACAGTTTTATCTCAAGTGACACCCATGACACAATTCTGTTCTGGTTATCACTCGACCCCAGTTCAATGTACAGGCTGATAATAAGTAATAACACTAGGAAGTGAAGCAAATTTTATAACCTTTGAATCTTTGCTGTTTATATTTGGCGCTATAGAATAGTATGTTTATGTAATTAAAAGATTACGAGGGCAGTATGAACTATTTGATGTAGCTGAATTAATTGAAGATATAATAATGACATTGAAAAGTCATTTTTACATTCTTGAATATGTGTCAGTTTTGTACATTTTCATGAACGTAGTGGAAACATTGAAGGTTTCAGCTGCTTCTGACCCAGTAATTGACTTGTTCCTTTAAGTGGCATCAAGCAAATTAAATTACATTGTAGGGTTAAGGGTGTAGCATAGAGCACAAGGGCCTAGATTTTTTAGGATTTTTTGAGGGGATAGCAGGCTTACCTGAATGGGAAAGAGTCCAAACTGGCACAGGAAACACAAAACAAAACTTTACACTATATACACAAAACATTAGAATATTTCACTGTCACTGACAGCATTTTCAACTAAGGAAGAGGAAGAGATAGTTTTCTAGATGTCCAAAATGGTGGCCAGTGAGTTGTTGAGTCAGTGTTGCCAATAGTATGAATTCAAAAATCACAGTTTCAGTTTATCTTTTATGCACTATATATATATGAATAAATATGTAAGCCTGCTAGTTGGGTTGGATATTGAAGTGGAGTGGGTTAGATTAAAGGTATTATCTCAGGTTTAGGTTTGGGGGTTGTCTAGACTTAGTAAACCATTGATAAGACAATTCCCATCTTCTCAGTTGTGACTGGTTACATTGAGGGGGCAGTGATTTGACTATTTTGGTTGTAAAGCAGTCATTGAAACTAGGGTTGTTGTGGCTCTGGGCATGTTGTACAACTGGTTTGTCTTTGTATCCAGTAGATACATCTTGTCTATGGCCATTCATCCTGGTTCTGAGGCTATTGGTGGATAGGCCTACATACTGTGCCTCACATTTGTTACATTGTAGTTGGTAGATAATGTTAAATTACATTGTAGGTCGCTCAGCCAAGAACGGCTACCAACAGTATCTGACTGTTAGTATCTAGTAACAGTATCTCTGACTTGCAATTCTTGAATTCCTTTACTAAATTTTATTTTTTAGATAGATAGTTTTTACTTTTTACAGTTAATCACTCAATAAAGTTTTAGTAAAAAAAAAGAAATTATATTTCGGCTTAAACCTTCTTCAGAAACAATGTAAAGATTTAGTGTCTAAAATTGTAATTAACTGTACTTATTGTTTTATTACGACCATATCGCTCAGAATAACTGTTTTCATGATATGGTTTGAGCTTGGAATACAAGAAGATATAAAACTTTAATAAGATGTTTCAAATTAAATTTTTGGCATTAATTTGTTTGCACGTAAATTTTATTTTACATCTAAAATTTATTCTTAAAAGCGTTAAATGTGTAATTTTAGGATTTGTATTGAAAGACAATAAATGTTAACATTGTCTCCCCGATAAATAGCCATGGGCAATGGAATCGGCTCTGAAACAAATTTACACACAATAGTCATTATATGTTAATGAATTTTATTCTTCTGTGTTTACTAGTGTGCATAATTTTTCTTTGGAAAATTAAACACACCCATCACTTTGCGTGTAAAAAAAAGATAATGAGCTACTATTAAAACTAATATGACTCATCCTAAACATAACCTAACCTAACTAACCTGACGTGTAGTTTTGTCATTGGTTTGGTAGAATGTTAATTAGATAATAAACATTTCATTGTAAACTAGCATAAACTAGCATAAACTAGCACCAAATAGCAAAGCATCATAAATGAGTACTTAATTCTAGAAGAAAAAATATTTTTCGGAAAAGAAAAACTTTTATTTCTAGTGACGAGGATCACACCTTGGAGACCGGAGCTGCTATATCAATGATAATAATAATAAGTGCTGGGATATCTCTGCAAAAATTACTGACACATTATCTTAGTATAGTAAAATCTCGATCTGAAATAAATGGAGAGAGACAGTTTTGTATAACCTATATTCCAGTTCAATGGTATGAATGTAAAGGCTATTTTATTTCAAAGAGATCTAAAAAATTTAGTTTTTTACGTTATTTTAATTACTTTTACCTTGTTTAATTGTTTACAATCATTTGCACAATGCACTACATATTTATTTGAATAATTGACAGTTATTCTCTGAACTTCATCCCTATTACGTTTTTAGAGAAGACTATCGTCTGCTCTATTACATTCTGTTGATCGACGATGCCTGTCTAGCTAGTTTTTGATTTGACTTTTTTGTAGTTTCAGTTATCCTGCATGTCGGTTTAAGGGGGTTCGGTTGTAAAAGGTTTTACTGTAGTTGTCATGTTTTCAAGGAATTTAAATTGAATACCCACCATTTTTGTTTTCACAATTTAACTCATTATGACTTATATGTTTTTAATTATGTATTTGCAGGTTGCGGCTGGAGCTGTAGGACTAGCTCAAAGAGCTCTGGACGAGGCTACTAAATACTCCCTGGAGAGGAAGGCATTCGGTATCCCCATTGCTGGACATCAGGTACATAATTGTAATATATCTAGCACTCATTTAATGAAGAAATAATCACAGTTTTGCTTGTTTTAAACTGAATATCAGTGGGGGCTGATGAGATGTAGAATGTAAGAGATGGCTTGTGAATTGGTTACTGACTACATGACCAATAGTTTTGTTGTTGAAAAATGTGTATTAATAACCCAATGATAAAGGATAGCTAGATTTAGTTGCACACCATCAAAAAGGCTAGTGAATCAAACCAGCCACCTGCTAATTACCAAACGAACACCATAATATTCAGCTATCTTTCTAAACTTTATTAGACATACTAGCTGACCCGGCGAACTTCGTATCGCCTAAGTTATAGGTTTCCCCTAAGACAGACTGATGGAAAGAAAGTACCGTTACGTTTAATTTCCAAGATGATCTCGTTCGCATCGCTCAATCACGTCCTGGTTGAAGTTCGTTCGCTACGCTCACTCACCTTTGGGTTGGAGCTCGTTCGCTACGCTCACTCACCTTTAGGTTGGAGCTCGTTCGCTGCGCTCACTTGCCTTCAGGTTAGCTCGTTCGCTACTTCGCATCGCTCAATCACGTCCTGGTTGAAGTTCGTTCGCTACGCTCACTCACCTTTGGGTTGGAGCTCGTTCGCTACGCTCACTCACCTTTAGGATGGAGCTCGTTCGCTGCGCTCACTTGCCTTCAGGTTAGCTCGTTCGCTACTTCGCATCGCTCAATCACGTCCTGGTTGAAGTTCGTTCGCTACGCTCACTCACCTTTTGGTTGCAAATTAGCTGTTGTCATAAATGTAAAAGAAATAATAGTGCTGCACCCTGTTGGTAATCCTTGTGACTTTAATGCTATTGAACATCATAGAACAGAACCAACTTGTTTAATTGAAACAGCTGTTAAGATTCATTAATTCCATTTCTCATAAGGTTAACATGGGAAACTCCAGAGCCACTGGGGCGGAGCCCTTTTAAGAGTTTCAAAACGGGAAATAGTTTACGTCCGATTCGCATACCTACAGAATTTACACACCAAATTTCATAACGATCGGTGAAGTCGTTCCGGAGGAGTTTGCAGACAAACACTGTGACACGAGAATTTTATATATTTTATTAGACATATTTCAATTCCTCTAACCAATTTTACCCTAAAAAATTATGAAAATATGACATAGTGTAGTCTGTGCTGATTCTTAACCCTTTCAGTGCTATGCAACGATAAGTCATTGTGCGTCTTTTTCCCGAAAAGTGCTATGGAACGATATATCGTTGTTCGCGTTTCTTCCAAATAGTACTAAGCGACGATATATCGTGCCGACGCAACTTTCGATCGTGTGAGTTTAAATGGGCATATCTGTTAACTCGGTTATTGTTTCAAAACCAAAACAGCTATCTGTATTTTTGTGGAATGTTTAATTGCACTTTTGGTTGTATTTCTTTAATGATGCCAGATATTGACAATATAATTTGACAAATATAAAAGGTTTTGCATGATTTATAAACTCAAATCTCTTTATGAACTTATTTTTGTCAGCAACAGTATGTCAATTTCACAACACTGTGTTCTGCAGGCTGTAGCCTTCATGTTGGCAGACATGGCTGTAGGTGTTGAGTCTGCTCGTCTGGCCTGGTGGAGGTCTGCATGGGAAGTAGACCAAGGTCGTAGGTACGTTCACTAATAATTTACTACAACTCTTTCGCAGATAAGGCTGGTAAGAATTGTCCGTGATATCACAATTAGTGGATTGTGTGTATTGACGGTGATATATTGTTCTTTTAAAATCCTATTTTGAACTTGATAACATTTGTCAAAAGTTCATTACTAAAAGAAAATCTTAATGGATGTACATACAACAAGACCTTAGGTTTCGATTATTGTTAAGATAGCAAGCTTACCTAAATGGGAAAGAGTTTACTCAGGCACAAAAATATCTGTGTGAATGGTTTGTACAGAAAATGTATTCATATTCGTCTGTCAAAATCAGCAGCCACCCAAACTTGCCTTTTTCTGCAAAAGGTTTTTCAAAGAGGTTAACTATAGATTACCACAGCCTTTGATCATGTTAAGTTTTTTGGACTTGATATTAAGGACAACTTTGATCACAAATAAGTTTGTAATAGTTGACAGTTAGTTTACTGTATGTGAGACCTCTGTTCTCTTAATAATCAGTGACACAGCAACTAGGTTCAAATCCAAACCTCTTGCAAATTCAAGGATTTATTATAGAATTCCTCTAGCAACATTTCTAGGTTTAGCCTATGTATTACAACTTTACAGGTACAGACTATATGTCAATGCATACATTAAACAGCACACTTTCAAAAGTCAAAAAGTCCGTCTGTTTCAATGTTACCATGTGATTTACAGGAACACCTACTTTGCTTCCATCGCCAAGTGTCTCGCTGCTGATGTCGCCAATAAGTGTGCCACTGATGCTGTTCAGGTAAAATTCCACCTAAATGTAATTTAAATTAATCAAACATGACATGACGTTAAATCTTGGTCTTCAGGAGATGACAACCTTTTTGAACTTGCGAAAATCCTGGGCGTTAAGCTGAATTGCAACTTGCCCTTAAACAGGGTTGCTGCAATGCATCACAAATGTTGTTCAGTATGTTCGCCAGTTCAACGATATTACCTTTTAGTTTGATAATGTATACTTATACCTTAATGGTTTAGGCAATAACAAACCACAATTTAGGGTAATTAGAACAGTTGTTTACTGATCTGGATCTCATGGTAAATGACAGTTGTCCTTGTCCACAAGGGTAGAAGAGGCTTATATCTACCCTTGAATGTCTTCCAATACATGGCTTAGGCCTTCTCAGTTGTGTAACTTTACTATTGACTTCTTGTTCCTATTCAAATGCTCATAATTCTTAACCATCAACCAGGAGAAATTTAAAACCCAGAGTAGTAAGGTACAGGAGGAAACAAGCTTATGGGACAAGTGTGCGCTTTCAACTTTAGTATGTTGAACGAAATATACTTGTGACGAGCAAGGAAGAGCCCAAGCAGCAGGCACTGTCCAGAAATTTCTGCCCACAGGGTCTTCTTCCTCCAACGTGAGCGTTGTAGTACATGAGAGCGACGGGGGCATGTTGGACTTGGCCCTAGACACCAGTGACTACTGCTAGATGCCACTTAACTGTACCATTGAATGTTTCTTCCGTACCTTACGTCACGGAAGAAAATATCAGCACCACCAGCGTTGCTATGCTGAGTGCATAGCAACGCTGGTGGCGCTGCCTACGAATTGACAGGCAAAGTTCTCTCAAAGTACTTAACGCTTTTTATCATGCGGTTGGCATTCTGGGTTATAGTAGTATGTTTTCTGTGCTTACGTCTCTGTGGCTACAGTTATAAGTAGGGATGGACGGGATTGAATTTTTAGTTCGGGACGGGACGGGACGGGATTTTTATTTCCTTCCCGATTTTCGGGACGGGACGGGACGGGATTTTTTTCTGTGCATAAAAAGAAAGTACTGTATTGCAGTTACCAAAAGAGACATACGAAATCAATTTTTACCATTTGTGGCACTGATCTATAAAAACCAAAAAATGGGTAACCTATAGAAACTTGTGACTCGCGGGTCACGGGATGATCGTCTGTATGACTCACGGTCACGGCGTGATCGTCGTCATGACTCGCGGTCACGGCGCGATCGTCGGTATGACTCCACGGTCACGGCGCGATCGTCGTCATGACTCGCGGTCACGGCACGATCGTCGGTATGACTCGCGGTCACGGCGCGATCGTTGGTATGACTCCGCGGTCACGGGGTTATCGTCGGTATGACTCCACGGTCACAGCGCGATCGTCGTCATGACTCGCGGTAACGACGCGATCGTCGGTATGACTCGCGGTCACGGCGCGATCGTCGGTAGGACTTCGCGGTCACGGGGTTATCGTCGGTATGACTCCACGGTCACGGTGCGATCGTCGGTATGACTCGCGATCACGGCTCGATCGTCAGCATGACTCCGCGGTCACGGCGCGATCGTCGGTAGGACTCCGCGGTCACGGCGCGATCGTCGGTATGACTCGCGGTCACGGCGCAATCGTCGGTAGGACTCCGCGGTCACGGCGCGATCGTCGGTATGACTCGCGGTCACGGCGCGGACGTCGGTATGACTCGCGAACACGGCGCGGACGTCGGTAGGACTCCGCAGTCACGGCGCGATCGTCGGTATGACTCGCGGTCACGGCGCGGACGTCGGTAGGACTCCGCGGTCACGGCGTAATCGTCGACATGACTTCGTCTCCTGCGTTCGCGGACCTGTCGCTCGCAATAACGGCGTTATCGGCACTCGCGAAGCGGAAAAATCGCCGACGATCGGACCAAATCCCGTCCCGAAAAATTCCCGAGTCAAATGTAATCCCGTCCCGATAATCGGGAATATTTTTTTCCCGAAAAATTCCCGAAATTTCGGGACCCGTCCATCCCTAGTTATAAGATTGTGTAAGTTAGAACTTAAGAACTTAGTACTATTTTTTTTTATACTCAGTATCCTAAAATTCTTTTTATAGATTTTCGGTGGAAACGGCTTCAACAGCGAGTATCCTGTAGAGAAGCTGATGAGAGATGCCAAGATCTACCAAATCTACGAGGGAACCGCACAAATACAACGTATGATAATCTCACGTGCCATCTTGGACAAGGCTAAGGGAAAGTAAACGAAACGTATGGTTCTTGATTGAGAAAAATGTGCCTTTACAGCTACCCAGCACTTGATATTATATCCGTACGAATTTATTACCAGGTGGATAAGACTGAAAGAGAATGCATGCCAAGGTAAATGGTTTTCATATTTTAATAATCGCTTGTATGGAAATAATTGTTTATAACATTATATTTTATTTGTTTTTTGGTAGATTTGTGAATTTTATCATGTATGTAATTATTGTGTATTGATTTGAAATATATACTCGTATACATTAGTTGTAATTCTTTAAAACCTCTTTAAACTGTAGGTTATGTTTATCAATAAGGTGAATTTTGGTGTGAGATAGAGTGGTTTAATTTCCACCATATCCACAAAAATGTTAGGGTTTAGACAGTTTTGTTAATATCTCCACCATTTCTTCAAAAATGTAATAGATTTGTTCTTATAAGTGTTTATTATATTTTATTCTCAACTCATTCGATTATTTCATACAAAGAATCTTGATACAAGAGTTCGAAATTGGAGGGTAATCAAATTTAAACTATCAAGAGTTTTGATTTTTTCGGTAAATTGAGGAGCTTTGTTGTGGATAAAATAATAAAATTGTCTAGAGATAAGACAATTTTAAAATTTCTGGCGTTTCATCTGTATTTACTGATACTAGCCATTTATTAAACAAATCAGTTAGACCAAGCCATTTTTGTTTTACCATTGGATGACTGGATGCGTCTAAAACATTATACTGTGTGCCTTTTCCAATGAGTAAACACAGTTAACCAGAACGCATTTTTATTTATGGCACAGGAAAAGGCTTGTGTTTAGTTTGCTCAATCTTCATTAGAAGATGTATTACACAATGAAAATAAACACAACCCTACATTAACAGCTGTCCCACAGCTCCACAAACTATGAATACCGTACATTTAAGTGAAGAAATTGTCATGTTAAATTTATTCTTCGCCTTTAAGTACTAAGTTGACTTAAATTGTCAAGAACAAAGGTGAAGGCATTTCACACGCACACACAGACATAAGGTAAATGTCTACTTATGCAACACTGTGCTATCTTCACTATATGTTTGTTGAAGCTGAACTAAGGTAAAGTAGTTTGTTGCTCTCATTACTAAACAAACACATTAACACTGGTAATTATTGACAGAAAAATGACAGGCTCTGTTGTTAGTTGGAGGAAATATGTTAGTATAATCACCATACTGAATATTTTTCAGTAAAACGGATAAAACATACTCCGTAGTATAAGAATATGGTATGGTCTTAGATAGATACTTCATGATGGCCGTAGGGGGTCTGTGGGTTGTTTAAAAGTATAGAAAACCTCCCTGCCAATATTTTTTTTTAATTAACTCCAAAATGGTGTTTTTAAAATTTTTTGTGCTTTAATGGTTTTTATATAAATATATACTAAATAAATCTTTAGCATAAAATATTGATTAAAGATTTAAAACAAATAAAGTGTTAAAATATTCAATACAGTAGAGCCTCACTAACACGACACACGTTTAACTTGACAGACAACAGCTGAAAGGACAGGGTGCACACAAAAATAAGCAATTTTCCAGAACATTTAGTTTTCATTGAAATTCAACATTTAATATTCAAAATTTCTTTGACGATTGTTTACTCAATATGTGAAAATACTCATGTACATTTATCTGTAAAAATTAGTCTGTTATTAATTTTATAATTTAAAAATGTCAATGCTCTGGATAACTCACCAACCTCCAAGTCCACTATGATCCAAGATTTTACTGTATAATTTATTGAAGAATCGTTAGCATGATACTGTGAGATTGGGAAAATATACGCACCAAGATACATTGTAACTAGTAGCTACTTGTAGGCTACTATTTTTAGAAATACTAATAAGCTACAACTGATAGGTTTCTACTCCATTTAAAATCAATAAGATGTGTAATTAATTACTGTACAACGTTATAATTAACCTGCTTCAAAATATCTTTTTTGACATTCAGTGTTTGAGTTTTAACATTGCACAGTGGCAATATCGTAACCAATGAAGTTCAACTGAGGTGCAAATATTGCTGATTGAAAACTTTTTTCCATCATGATTCATGAATCATGTGTTTGAATACAAGGACAGTCCTAGACCTATATTCGGGGGGGGGCCTGAGGGGTTTCCTGGGGGTTCCCCCCAGAAAATTTTTAAAATGATGTGCTTAAATGAGCGATTTTTAAGCTATTTTGAGACATACAAAATTAAATTGACCTAGGTTAAATAATCTTGAATAATGTGAAGTTTTTGCATTATTGAGACTTGTGGAGTTGATCAGTAACAGACGCCGCTAACCCGACGGAGTTTAAGTCCAGGTGGTTAGTACAGTAGGTACGTCCGTTGCGTTATCTTATCACCTCAGGTTGCGTTCTTGCCAATCAAACTTCCCTTCTCCAGCACAATTAACAAACTAAAATCTTGTTCAGTTTTAACTCAGCGCCTTTGACTAATAGAATTATTTAGATTATAGAAATATATTCTTAAAGATTAATCACAATGTTACAAGTTTTTATGCTGGTTAGTGGTTACTATATAAATGTTGCTACTTACCCATTGCCACATAAAGAAATGGAGAGTGATACAGGTATTTTTGTGTAGAGTATTTACCTGATTTAATTTGGAATCCTAGAGAGATGAACTGGATGAGTATACTCCATGGTTGTTCTCTGACAGTTTGCTCAGAAATTGCAAGGTAGTTAAAAGATGATTCTTGTTGCTTGTCTAGAAGGAAAAAATCACGTTTAAGTGAGGATAATGTTTTATTAATTAGTATTAGAGCTGTTATTGCAGGGACTAGTCATTAGGAATATCTTCCTCTTGATATCATTCTTATTGCCAACTTCAATTTTACTTGTCTTTAGGAACACAATAAATGAGTAATTAATTATTTCTTAAGAAAGAACATTCATTGCTTTTGGTTTCAACCATTACTATTGGGATGTATTTTTAATTACACTACTGTGAGACGTAGAAAGACATTTTATAGATTTTTACTGATTGATTATCTGTAAAGTTTTCACTTTTTAACATTTTTATTTCTGCCTAGAAATGTAACATTCCTTAAACCCAAACACTACCAAAATAAACATCGAAAGCTACCTGTTGTAGGATTGGGCCCAAAGTTATCTTTTCATTCTTCTGACTCAATTCAGAGTGATATATAAATCTGCAGCCATGTAGAAATAAATCTTTGTTTAAGCGGAGTGTGAACTGTGTGAGTCGCCTCGTCTGACACCTAGAACATTTCTGGTCCACACACGAGGAGTGAACAAACTACTATTCTGAGGTGTAATGGGTCTTGAAGTATGTCTACCAGGCTCGTAAGCGGGTAACTCCTTCACCCAACTATGTGTCGCGGTGACAGATGTAACAGGAAGGTTGCAAGGTGGTCTGAATACTACGGGTCAAGACAAGCGAGTTGCAAAATAACATGTGAAGAAAATCAGAGAATATTTATAGAGTGACTAGTTCATAAGTTTTCAGGGATATGAGATGATTGCACATAAAACGTTTAGGCTTTGTCAGAGAAGTAACCGCATGGGACAGGGCCGACAAGTTACAAGTCTCCAATGAGTCCTATAAAAGACTCTAAGAGGAAACCGGCAAATGTCCTTTGGACCACCCTGGTGTAGTTTGTGTGTGTGTCGAGAGTCTTCGAAGATTTCTGAACAAAAAGTAGGTTGCTAAAAAAGTAGCTAACATGGCTTGTAATGTGTACGTTTCCTCCCAAACAATCTGAAACACAAGATCAAAAGAAACATATTGTTTTCAATAAGATAACACTGGGTACTTATTTTATTTCAAAGTATTATGTCAATAAAAGTACCTAACAAGTATGTTTAAGGAGTTACAAATATTTTTAAGTATTTTCCTTAGAAAAAAGGAATTTTGTAACATAATTTCTGCCACCAGCATAAGCTAAATACTTGGTGCGGTAATGTTGTTGTGAAAAGGATATAGTTTCAATGAAAACACAAGTTAAATTGATAAATGCATTTTTAATAGGTTGATTTGTAATATTTGACATACGGGAACTGAAACATGTGTGAGAAATATTGTTATTTACAAAATTCCTATTTTTACTGCTCCTTCATAGGATTTCGTGTCATTGAACAACCAAAAGCAGTAATATTGTATACTTCATTATTTTGTTTTAACTTCAATCAAATATGAGATTTAAACATTTTTTCTTAAAATAGAGATCTTAGGTTCCAACTTGACAACGCTCTATCAAATATATCTCTGTGCAATTTGAATACATCTTGATGTGTGTAATCTTGTATTATCAATTATTGAGATGGGGATGCCACCTATGTGCATATTTTAACCCAAATAATTTAAAGTTATTGATCCTGTAGTTACAGTTATTTAAATTCTGACGACCATTATATTGTAAGGTTAAACCTCATAACCAACATTTGCTGGCAATATTTTGTTATTACTCAATAATTTCCAAAGCTTGTCTCTTATAAATTTTTTATTGCTCGTGAAAAAAAGTATTTAAGCATATACTAAACATGAGGACCATCCTAATCGATATAAAAATAACATTTACACTTCCAGCTAATAAATGATTCTTAAAATTGTCATTTTATGTTAGACACATTTAGCTTTAAAACAATTAAGTAATACTAGGTACCTTCTAATAATTTTTGCATCGTAAAATAGGTCTATAAATAATTTTATAGGACTTACCTTGATCTTATTGCTGTTTTCTTTCATCAGAGACACTGAGCTACTTAAAAACTAGAGTATTAAAAACTTGTAACATTGTGTTAATTTAATTCAACATAATTTTTTTCATTTTGGAAATATAAAGAAATTTATATCAGTATTAAAGAAGTTTAAAATTTGCATTTCTCATTGGATCTCAGTTAAATCATTTAAATTGGATACTGAAGGGATATAGCTATCCACTCAAAATAAAATCTGCAAATTAGGCTTATATTTTTATTTTATGTAAACAAACAGCAAATAAAACATATGGTTTTCCAAAATAAATAAAAGTTATTTAGCTATTTTAAACTCAATGTTTTTGATTCAATATAATATGAGACATCTTCCGACCTTACTTATATATAGAAGTTTAAAAAATTTCTTGATTGAAGTGTTGATGAAATGCAGTACTACATTCCTTCGTGTAATATTTGAAACATGTTAAGTATATGTTTGCAAGTTTGGTGATTTTTAGAGCTTGGAACTATGAAGTCATGAAACAACCAATAGTGTTCAATAATAAACCTAAAGTGGACCAGAAGGTAAATGTTTTTTTTTTCTTTATGAATCAATTTGACGATTTGTACATGTTTTAAATTACACTTCAACTTAAATAAATTAGGATTTCCTATCTCAATCACAAGCTAGAAAACTATAAAGCTAGAAATTCGATTAAGATACTTTTATAATCATGTCCAAAATAATCTACACGTTCTCATAATTAATTCATGAAAAGCTAAGGATATGATTCAACTCATCTACATGTTTCTAATTTACAGCTTTACTCTTCAATTTCATATTATACTACTCACGATACATACAGAGAACTTGTGACTTGTTTGAAGTTCATTTCAAATATGAATTTTGTTGCTAGCTAGGTAACTTAATTTATGATTCTTTGTTCAAAAGTTTATCTATTTCTGCTATGTTTTGTTGTTTTGTTGTAACCAAGGTGAAGTAAAATGAAACAAAGTATTTCCTTGATCACAATTGCTGTCCAAATTGTGCTAAACGTTAGGAATTTGTAAAAACAGAATTTGTAATTCAATGGTAACCTATGAAAGTAAATTTTGAAACTTTCAATATTTAAATAATAGTCATATTTTCTTAGTCATTTGAACACCTGATATCATGTTTAGGAATTTTTTATGGGGTAAAACATGGTTTTTCTCATTTTTAACCCTCAAAACACAAAATTTCCCATTTTATATTTAGACCATTTTAAAGGGCTTAAAAAAATAATTTTTAGTATACCAAAGTTCTTTTGTACAATTATTGGTTACGGAGAAAATTCTAAAAAAAAGTAAAATTCAAAATTCCCATGTTACTCTTATGGAGAATATTGTTAGATGTTGTAGTTTGCTAGTTTATCGAAATATTTTGATAAAACTTGGCAAATTTATTTATTTTATAGTAAGCTATTAATATTTTACTAATAACAACGCTTTAGCCTCCCTGTAGCAGCAAACCTAAACCTAGGTACTCGTTAAACATAATGTTGTTTAAATAGTTTTAATTTAAAATCAATTCAGACAAATGGGAATTCGCTTAGTCTGCAGGTTTTGTTGTGGCGGGGGTATTTTACTAATAAAAATTTAACAATATTTAAATGTTCAACGTGTCTGGTAGTCCAGGCGCTAAACGGGTTGAGTATGCACTGAAAGTCTGACAAAATTTGACTTTTGATTATTGTTGGGGACATCTAGTAGATGAAAAAAATCGATGATGTCGCATTTCTAGGGTGGTCACAACTCGGGGGGGAGGGGGGGAAGTTGCGCGGGTCATCGGTTTACGTTTCCGCGTCTAACTCACAAACGGTTAATGATAGAAAGGTGAATTAAGCGTCTATCTACGCCTAAATATATTGTCTTTTAAAAAGGTTATTACAACCTTTCTTTTATCTCTTATACTTTAGGCGCTAATCAACATTTATTGCAAAAAATAAAATTTAAAAATACTTAAAAATGAAATATCGGAAATATTGCGCTTGTTTAGGGCATGTTACAAACTATTTATGGTTAGAAAAACTAACAAGTAGTACAACAACACCAAGTTTAAAGAAATCCGTGCAAAAACAACAGAGCTACGTGGATTTCAGTAAGAGTAAACGTGGAAAATTCGTAGTAGTACCGAGGCGCGCATGGACGGTACGTAGCCCACAGTCGATATAGGTTTGATGTTGTAAGTAACTATGGGAAAGCTGAATTTTTCTATGCTGTTAGACCATGTTGAGATGAGCATTTTCCCAAAAGTCCCCACTCCTCCCCCTTTGTGCTTTCCTCTACCCCCCCCCCTTTTAGATAAATTTACAGTCTCTTAGAAATTAAGCTATAACTTTAAAGCGGGTAAGGATAATAACGCAATCATTTTGCGGTACGATATTCTACAAAAAGTGTTT